TCTCTCTCTCTCTCTCTCTCTCTCTCTCTCTCTCTCTCTCTTTTTTTTTTTTTTTTCGAGGAAAGGAGCAGCATGGCACCAGCTGGTCCAGCGGCCGCCGCCATGGCGGCATTGGACGAGTCGGATCGCAAGGTGGTCAAGGCGTTGGGCAAGCGATTGAGAAATAAGATGCCGACGCATGTCAAGACTATTCCGCGTACCGGCAAGGTGGATGTGTTTTCCGGTGCGTCAATGTGTGCGCGTGACGTGACCGGGCCATCCGCCCACTGGTGCATGTGCGGGACCGCTGGGCGGCCGTGCCTGCTGATGCGTTGCGCGCTGCGGTATGCTCTCTCTAGGACGGCGATTGGTGGACAACATGCTCGAGCACTGCGGCGACTTGGTGGAAGATCGCAACCGAGCGTCTTACTACGCTCACTTGTACGTTAATTCATACCTATCTGTGCATATTTACAAGAAACAGCGCTTTGCTTGTTCCTGCCTCATGGTCTGCCAACAGGTTGCTCAAAGTAGACTACATCAAGCGCGGGCGCTTTATCTTGGTTGATGACCCCAATGCAAAGAACGACCTCAAGGTCTGTATGAAACGACATGCCCTGCGCACGCGCGCTCTCTCTCTTTCTCGCTTTCTCTCGCTCTCTCTCGCGCTCTCTCGTGCATCCGGCACGGCACAGGCAGCCTCTCATGGTGTGGCATTCCGCTCGTACGTGGCTGACCTGTTGACGTTGTTGGTTCCGTGGTGTGCGCGTGCTCTTCTTGTCCTCTTGTGGCAATTTGGGCACCCCTCGCAGAAGAAGCAGTTTTTACAGATTGACAACCACCCGAGTGTCCAGTTCAAGTTTCAAGATGAGATGGTGCCGTACTTCTGGGTGTATTCCATTACCCCCCTCTCGACCTGGCTGATTCTGGGCGGCATTCGTATGTGTACCGCGTGCACGTTTTTGTCCTTTGATCCTTGGTGGGAGATGTTCTCATCAACTCTTGTCTCCTCGGCCTTGCTGACCTGCTCCTTGATTTCTGCTGCCTGGTGTGCAGTTTTGGCGGGCGTCGCCTTTGTGACCATGCCCGTGTGGCCCAACTGGGCTCGCGAGGGTACACAATATGTCAGCTGGGGTGGCATTGGCCTCCTGGGCCTGCTCATTAGTCTCGAACTCGGTACGTCTGCGCATGCATCGAAGAGCCATGGATGGACTCGTCTGCCTCAGCAACTCATGCCATGTCATGTTCATGTGACATGTTGTTCCCTGATAGTGCGGTTTACCCTGAACATGCTCGTGTTTCACCTCTCCGGCAAGACCAAGGACTTTTGGCTCTTTCCCAGGTGCGGGCGAGGGTCACTGACTGGCCATTCCTTCTCAGAGCCAGGGCGGGCTTGGCGCTCATTTGGCTTTTTTTGCAACACCCTATTGTTTTGCTGGATTTTGCAGGCTGAATGATGAAGATCTGGGCTTTTGGGAAAGCTGGACGCCCCTCTACTGCCTCGAGGATTATCAACCTCCCAAGGAGAAGAAGAAAAAGAGGAAGAGCAAGCGTTCGGTGAGCTCAGAGCCCTCGATCGAGAGCGGTGGCGAGGACGAGGGCAAGGGTGAGGCTGAGGCCGCTTCTGCGCTCAGTGACGAGGACAATGCAGAGAGCAACGCAGAGGAGACCGTGTCTGCATAAACGGCGTTGTATTCACCGACACATTAATGCTTGAGTCTCGAGTATATTCCACGTCAATTTGTTGTGGTCCGTCACGGACCAAAAGTGCAAAACGTAAAACTTAGAAGAGCGAAGGAGGAATTCATGTCGCGCAGCTGAGCACCCATCTGGATCGGTTCTGGCAAACTTGGCACAGTCACCGTCGAGACCTGTGGTCGGTCGGGGGTACGCGCGCAGACATTTGAGTGTGCTCGCCTCGGCTTTTTGATGTAGACTGGCCTCAATCAATCAATCAATCAATCACTCAATCACAGGAACCAGCAGGAATATTGTTAGGCATCAATCATCAATCAAGGAAGACAAAAGGAACAGGCTGGGTAAAAGACAAAGAGAAGCTATCAAAAGGCCGCTGTGACGACGCACGAAACGGCAACAAAAGGGGGGCTAAGAACAAAACCAAAAACAACAACGACAACAACCCCCGGTTAGGGAGGGACAGGGCAGGAAGCTGCCGGTACAGGACTATTATCAGGGGTCACGCGAAGAGAAATTTAAAAACCAAAAACCAAGAAGAAGAAGAACAACAACAAACCAACAAGCAAGCAAAAGTCGGTTGTGGACTGGGCAGGGCCGCCAAGCAGCCATCATCAGCACCAACAGGTGAGTCTCTGAAAGTGATCAATAGGGTCGTTCATAAAAAAGGGGGAAGGGGGTTGGGAAGGAGCATCGTTGACCGGCAATGACTTGAAGAGGGAAAGAGGAAGAGGAAGGGGGTTGAGGCTGGCTGGACGAGCAAGCGTATCGAGAGCGTTTCATCATTGAACAAGAAAGGAGGATGGCGAAGCTTTGGCCAGGGGGTGGTGCTCGGATTTGGTCCGGCGATGGCTGCCCGGAGGGGGAGCCTCCATGTTGTCCAGATGCAGGCTGAGGCGAGGTGGGGCTCGCAGGGATTCGACAGGGTCCTTGTCCTCCTGCTCAAAGGAGAGGTCACAACCGGAATCGTGCATGCGGCTTCGCCAAGGAGCTTGGGAACAGGGGGAAGCGGGGGCCGAGGCGGGGGTGGGGATGGGCGCAGCAGTGGTCGCAACGTGGTTGAGCGCATCAAGGACCTCCTGAGCGGCAGGGGAGGCATCGCGACTGTTCATCAGCTCACACTGAAAGGCCCGGGAGGAGCGGTGGCTGATTGGAGCATGCCGCTGGCGCTGATGCCGTGATCGGCGGCCGGTCGTGGCTGAGGGCGAGCTTTGATGGTGATGCGCAGCGTCGCATGAGCGGCGCGTGGGGCATGGCATATGATCCTCGTCATGGCTTTTATTGGTGAAATCAAGATTGCCATCCCCGTCAGAGCGCGGGTTCAACTCGGCCGGGGCCGCAAGCGCCATCTCGGAGCGAGCCGCCATGGAGTGCGACCGACGTCGTCGGGGTTCAAAATCAAAAAGTGCGCGTGGACGCGTCTAGCAAACCCCGGGTTCTAATTTATGGTCGGCCATGCGCACGTACAACGACCTGCAACCGGACACACCGCCGCCACCTGCTCGCTCGAGCCCAGCAGCAGATGAATGATGGCAGATGACTGCCGACAACGGTATCCTCTGCCCGCTGGAATCTCCGAGGGAGACAGACAGACAGACAGACAGACAATGATAACAAAGTGACTGGAAGCAGAAAAAGAGAGAGAGAGAGAAAGAAAAAAAAAAGGGCTCTCTGGCACTGGTTGGCGGACGGGCAACAAGGGACAGCGGACCAACAAGCTGTAGCTTCAGAGCGGAAAGGATATGACCGCACCGGCCGGCACGGGACCAACAGGTCGCCAGCAGCAGCCGTCAGCAGCAGAAGCCAGCCGCCAGCCGAAAGCCAGTTGTCGTGTCGGGTCGGGTCGGGTTGAAGGATGATGATGGCGGGGTTAGGGTATGGGTCGAGTGGGTGCGTAGCAGGGGAGGGGGGTGAAGGGGGGTGAAGGGGTAGAGGTGGGGGTGAGGGGGTGGTGCTGGGGTGTGGGGTGGTGGTTGGTTTTAAGGGGGGTTCAGAGAGAGGGGTCGGATGAGGGGGGTTGGGCAGAGGCTAGAGGTAAAACGGGTTAGATGGCATGTAGGAAGGGCATCTGGGGTATGGTCAATGCAACGTTGTAGGAGTGTGGGGGTGTGGTAAGGGGTTTGGACGAAGTCACGTCATCAAGCGTCCCTCACACACCACACGATATGATTGATGTAACAAATGGTGTTGGATTTCCGAACGATCGTACTGCTACCTATGGGGTATGGGGGAGCGGTGACTCTACCTATGGAAGACCGGTGGCTTGACGCAGAATGTGTGTTGAGTGGTTACGAGTGGTTGTGGGTATTGTGGGACTGCTGTGTTCTGCCCCAGCGTCCTTGATGCGTCACCACACCTGTCTGCTACACCCAAATGGAATTGCCCTTGCAAAGACCACACCTGAACGACCGGATGCAGATCTGAGTCTGATCGGAGACCAGACGCCAGTCTTGTGGGAGACTGGGAACTCCCCGGTCTCCGCCAACGTTGCCAGTCTCCTCCAATCTAAAACACAAGATCTTGTCCATCTGCTACCAAGTGATAATTTGTCGAATTTGTCAGCGGTTTACATGTCATAGCTCCTTACATGTGCCCCGAGCTCCACCTCTGAACCCTGCCTCCACCGCGCGCTCTCTCTGCTCACCCTTTACACCTCCCTTTGTTTCTTCTCCAGTTCCACTCACCAATCACCGCATCTCTCAACCCAGCCCTCTACCCATCAGCCCTCTCCCCTATTTTCTCTAAAGAGAGAGAAAGTGTGTGTGTGTGTGCGATCTGAGCAGACCAACGTGCGCGCGCGCTGCCCCGGGGAGGCGTCCCTTCGCCCTGCGCCTGCGCCTGCGCCTGTGCTTGTGCTTGCCATGGGTCTTCCTTGTCGTCGCGCTGCGCGCTGTATGCTCTGGGCTATGGGCTGCCTTGTGCGCTGTGTGGAGAGTCCCCTCTTGTCCTTCCATCATCAACATCATGGCTCACATAGGTCGCTCCGCCCATGTGATGGCATGTGCATAGGAAGGGCAGCCGATTGCACCCTTGGCAGCGTCTGGTCGTTTCCTTTTGAGCATCAACCTGGTGCCATGATTCACTCCGGCGCCGACGTGCCATTGGGCATCAAGGCCATCGAGGCCTGCGGCACCAAATCCCAGCCGACCACTCGCTTGCGAAAATACCAGGTCCGGCTCGACTCGGCTCACGAGCGCTCCCTCGACCGTCGGCCATTTTCCCTTGCCAGGGCGCTCTTGCTGCTGGGCTCCTTCGCATGGTTCCGGTCATTGATCACCGGCTCTTGGTCCCACGCGCCACCCATGTAGTTGATGGTCTTGCTGCTCACCTTTTTGACCTACATGAGCTACCATCTCACCCGCAAGGTCACCAGCGTTGTGAAAAGCACCCTCAATCCCAAGGTAGGCGTGATGTGCTCAGCTACCAGCCTCGTTCTCTCATCTCCTGCTTCCAAGTGGTGTCCTCAACCCCCACCCTTCCCGTGCCCCTGGCTGGACGGTAATTTTGGGCTCGGCCGTACCAGGTGGATGATGACTGGGACAACATCAACTCGGGCTGGTACCCCTTCAGTAAGCCGGCGCTTAGCAATACTTCGCACCACGCAGGGCTCTAGCCCGCCCTCTCACGTGGCTTTGGTTTGGCATCGACCCCATCCTCACAGACAAGGGTGAGCCTGATGCTGACGGCGCCCGCAATGAGGGCAAGGCCCTTCTGGGCCTCCTGGATACCACCTTTCTCTTTGCCTACGCCGTCGGCATGTTCTTCAGCGGCTCTGTGGCCGATCGCTCCAACCTGCGCATTTTCCTGAGCGGCAGCATGATTAGTAAGAGCCTGTCTGTCTCTGCTCTTGTCCCTTTTGCCACCTGCGCCATCAATTTCCTTGTCCGCCGTTGCGAAAGAAGTACATCTCGACGCACTGACCCGTCCCTTGCGTGCGCTTGCTCTTTTTTTTTTTTTTTTCCGCCGCTAGCCATTGGTATCCTGATGGGCGTGATGGGCCTCGCTAATTTCTGGGAGATTCATGATCTCTGGTATTTCCTCTTTGTGCAGGCCGTCACCGGCCTCTACCAGGTACTCTCGCCGCGCCTACCCCGTGATCCGTTTCGCACACTTGCACGTCTGCCCTCGTGCGTCTGCCTCACAGCGGCCTGCCATCCTTACCTCCCTGCCATAGGCAACTGGCTGGCCCTCTGTGGTCTCCGTCGTGGGCAAATGGTTTCCTCGGGGAAAGTAAGCATCACGGCTCACCGAGCGAGAGAGGTGCTGGGTTAGGACCAGTATACACTAATATCCATTGGCATTGATTTGATCCTGTTTGTTGTCAGGCGCGGTCTCGTCATGGGCATCTGGAACAGCCACACCTCTGTGGGCAACATTTTGGGTGCGTTTTTCCCCAGCTGACAGCCATTCAGCTCCAGCCGAAGACCATCGACCAGATCCTGTGCTCATGCCATAACCCTGTCACTTGCCCCACCAACCGTGCTCGCGCTCTTTGCTGGACCCAGGTGCCTTGATTCCTGCGGCCGTTCTTGGCTGGGGTTGGGGTTGGGCTTTCATTGTACCCGGCATCATCATCGCCGGCTTGGGTATCATCATGTACTTTTTCCTCATCGTTTGTACGTCCAGTCTCGCCCCGCCAACCCCGGTATCAATCTGCTGTTCCCATCAATCTGCTGTTCCCACGCTCGCCTCACCACCGGGCGCCTTCACAGTCCCTCAAGACCTGGATCTTCCCGATCCCGTCTCCGCCGAGGTCAGGAAAAGGCACTCTGCTCAGCCCATGACCCGCGCGCCTTTTGCAACGTCTCACGCTCTGTATAATGGCCCGGCGTCACTCATTGTTAGGAGGATACGGAAAAGACCACTCTTCTCAACGTGGCTGGTGACGTGCCGGTCCAGCACCAAGCCGTATCCTTCTGGAAGGCCCTTTTCATTCCCGTACGTGACCTGACCTGACCCGAAACACCACCATGCCCGCGCAAGCGGCCCTTGCTCTTGGCGAGGTGATCCCGCGATGTTTTGTGAACCGACTCGGCCCGGCTAATCATCCTTCTTCCTCGCACGACCCATCACACAGGGCGTCATCTCGTTTTCCCTCTGCCTCTTTTTCTGCAAGCTGGTGGCGTATACCTTCATGTACTGGCTGCCATACTACGTGCAGCACACGAGTCAGTTGTTGCTGCAATGTCATGTGCCCTGTTTGAGCAACATGCTGCTAGCTCGCGTCATGTAACACCCCACCTCCTCTGCTCGCAGAAATTGGCGGCCACACGCTCAGTGATTCCGAAAGTGCCAATCTCTCCACTCTCTTTGATGTTGGAGGCATTGCCGGTACGTGTCGTAGAGTGGCTTAGGTCCCCCCGCCCCTTTACCCTTTTGAACCTCATTCGCTTCTTGCTTTCACTCGTCCCTCATGCGCCCCCTGTCCTGGCTGACCCTCATAGGCGGTATCCTGGCCGGCTTCTTGAGCGATCGCCTTCGCAAGCCCGCTCTTATCAACGCCTTTTTTCTTTACATCGCTGTACCAATGGTTCGCTCAGCCCCCAACATGCTTGCTCGTCCTTCATACACGGCTCATCAACACCCCTACCTTCAAGCCCCCTGTCTCAACGTGCATGACTGATGCTTGGCCGTAGCTCTTCATTTATCACACCTATTCCAAAGACTCGACGAGCATCAACATCTTTCTCCTTCTGATCACGGGTGCCATCGTGAACGCTCCATACGCTCTGATCACCACTGCCGTCTCTGCTGACTTGGTACGAGAAACCTGCCAGTCATTTGGCCAGACCTAATTTTTCCTGCAATTTGGCACAGCAAGTTCCTCGGCACATAATCTCGTGACTGTATCAATGTAGGGCACCCATGAAACTCTGCGCGGTAATCCAAAGGCTCTGGCCACGGTCACGGCAATTATTGATGGCACCGGCTCCATCGGTCAGTGTGTTGGTATGCAAACTCTAGGGCTGGTGATTGCATCAGTATTTATCACTTGCTGTGTGAACCGATCTTTGCCTCAGGTGCGGCCATTGGCCCTTATCTTGCTGGTTCCATCAAGGTATGATGTCTTTTTGCTGTGCTTACCCTTCCTTGAGGTTCTGTCACTGCGTTGCCTATTTCGTCCTGATTTATTGTTGTTGTGACTGCTGCTACTGTTGCTATTGATTGTTGTTTGTTCACTTCCTCACTCTTCGCGTCGCACTGACGGACTGCATGGCAGAGCTGGGACGACGTCTTTTGGATGCTGATGGCCTCTGCCGCGATTGCAGGCCTGGTAGGGATATATTTCTTGTCCTACATCCCCTCGTCTGCCAGATTTGCCGAGCCCTGCAATCTTGCTTGCCAACTTGTCCATGACATTCATTGCCCCATTCTTCCATAATTGTGGCTTGGTCGTTAGATGTTGACGCGCCAATGCAAGGATGAGCTCTGTGGAAAGCCGAAGAAGCAAGAGGCCTACACTTTTGACTAAGCGGTTTCCCACCCAAAGCCATGCTCGCATCCTTTGGGCTCTTCATTTTGTTCACATTCTTGTTTCCCTCTTTGGTTTGTTTCATTTTTTTTGTCCTTCCCCGCTCACTTCCTGTTCTCAGCACCCTCTCGTAAAGGCCCTTGGTTGTTTGACCAAGGATGCTTCGCTTGATTTTGCTGTCTGAACTTAAGTGTGCACTCTTTCGAGTTCCACGTCACCGCTCCCTTGCCCGGCTGGTCCCAATCTGTTCATGAAAGCATTCATGTGCCCGCTGAACCATTTCGACTGGTCATGGTCCACCCGTGTCGCGCCCTTTGCAAGGACACATTCGCGCCTAGGCTCTTCTCCATTAGTTTGGAATTGTTGGAATGTATCGACCAACAAACACCCCAGACAAAAGATACGCGAAGTTTTATCGCGTGTGATCAAGACCCCGTCTGCCTGTTTCCATGGCAAAGTCAGTTTCCAACTGCCATTCGGAATTGATCTACATGATGATAGCAGCTGTCCTTGCAGATGCCCACAGATCTCCCTTTTCATGCGTATCTGTTCGCTTGTCGGCCCGAGGTCTGCTCATGTGACTTAGCAAAAGAAGAAGAAGAAGAAGAAGAAGAGAAAGGAGGTGATGATGCTGACATGATAGGAGGCCTAAATTTGTAGCGAATCGCATTCCGGTTTTCATTTTCTTTTAAAGCTGCTTCTTTTCTCTTCTAGCTTACAAATACACCAATCGATCGTGCGAATGAAGGATCCGATGCTCGGCTTCCTCAAAGCAGTCGATCGCGAATCGCAACTGGTTTTTAAACTCGGTTGCAATCTGCAGCGCCCAGTGCGAGAAGAGTGAACCATGGCCAACCACACACGCGAAGAAAAAATAAATAAATAAATAAATAAATAAAGCAAGGTAGGTTGCCAAGTACGATCCACAAGCATACCTCTAGTGTATCACATGGTTGAGCAAATCTCATGCGACCGCGAGGTCCATCGTGAAGAACATCGTAGTCCAGTTTCAAAGCCTCGGTGGCTTGCATCTCCAGTTGCTTTATGGTGTGGCGCAACATCTGCAACACCAAGCAGGAAGTAAGTACAATTGGCGCGTCAGATGCAAACCGGAGACCGATGAGGATTTGTTTAGGTTCTCGACTGCCCACGAGCAGGTCAGGACAGCATACCGCGGCCGACACCCAAAAGTCTACATAAACTTGGTCCTTGTGCACGCTGTTGGGCAAGGTGCCTTGCACAATATCAAATCTAAATCAAGGGACATTGCATAGCCACACACACGAGCGCATGAACCAACGTGGACCAAGGGCTTTGACAAGCGTGCACACAACTGATGTCAACGAAAAACGCGTACTTGTGCACGCCACGGAACCAAAGCTCAAAGCTGATTGTCGCTCGGCCCGGGAGCTCGTTCAGCCCAATCACCCGTTCACTTGTGATGATCACGCTGGGCAAATGCACCCCCAGCTTCATGCGATGCACAAATCGTTCCTCCTGCCCACAACACAAATGCGTGAGATTGAGAAATAATTACAGACCGTCTTCACTCCTCGGGTTTCGTTTTCACATGCAGACAGCAGGCAATCGTACCGATGGCCGCGCCAACAGCACGCGCAGCTGTGATTGGCCCCGGGCCGCATCAATGTTGTATGGTCGAACAACCTCGTCTGGTCCAATGGCCCGAGGGAGGCGCATTCGCTGCGACGCCCCACGCGACCCACTACGCATTGCCGATACTGTTAACAATGACAGAGCGGAACATACCATATAGTCCAAACAAACAAACCAAACAAAATTTCTCTTCGCTCCTTTCCGAGCCGTGCGCAAATTGGAATGGCTAACCTCATGGCAGCCGCGGTTTCCGACACGAGATCCATGACACCCGAAGCAGGCTTCGTCAGCACTCCAGCAGCACCTGGCACACATGAAAAGGTTGCCATCAACCCTACGAAAGGCGATGCACTTCAACCATGTTCTCTGCCGTGTGAACGCTACAAACCCTTGAAAAGGCCTTTCACGAGCCCAACGGCGCCACCCTTCTTGAGGCCCTTGGCCGGATGCGACACGACGCCTATTGTAGCATACCACAACAAACTGAGCACCTGGCTCTCAAACATGCCCAGCCGATGCAAAATAGAGGCCAGGTCACCCACCTTCGACAGCTGACACGAGAGAATAACCAAAGTTACCCAGGCCCGTCGCAAGGTGGCCCTGGTCGCGGGCTGCCGCAATGGCACGATCGCGCTCGTGTACAAACTCGGAATCAAAGGAGGCACGTGTCAACTGGTCGCCCATCAGTTGCGTAAACTTTGAGGTTGAGTAGGCCACACCCGAAGAGACGTGTGACAACAGGTTCTGCGAAATGCCCGGGTGAGATCAACTGCAAAGACTCACCCGCGAGCAGGCATGGCATGCATCAGGCGACGTACCAAGCCACCGCCAATCACGTCTTGGTTCGTCGTCACGTCGTCCAACATGGCCCTGTGTGCAATCGAAGACCACCCCAATGTCAGAGGCAGCATGGGTTCACGAGTCTATGCTCCAGTGTGGGTTCACGAGTCTATGCTCCAGTGACACTACATGGCATCGCCAGGGACAGTCCCTTTGAAAGATCAGCTGCAGTGCTGAGCAAAAGGAACGTACCGCACACCCTCATATAGAGAGCCAACAACTACCGTTGGTGTGCCCAATAAGGTGAGCGACAAAGCTCCCTATGGGCACGACGACCTGTGGTGAGTGCTGAACATGAAAGAGCGCAGGATGTCAACGATTACGTACCCGATACCACTGCTGCACGAACAACTGGCGGTAGTGGGTCTGTAGGCCCTCGCCAAGAATATCTGCAGTGACAAATGGCAGATGCAGCTCGAACTTGGACATGTCAAAGTGACATTCATCAATGCTCAGCAGCAGCATCTTGAAGATCTGATGGAAAAACATGACCCCCCAAACCATTTCAAGCGGTCGTTAGGCGGGAAACGCATGGCACAACAGTGCTGCTGCTGGAAACCAAACATGCAAACAAGCAAACAAGCATAGCGAGCAGTATATGCACAGAAGCTCAAACGTCCACGCTCAATCAGAGATGCTCACCTCGGTGAACAGCTTGAATCCCGTCGGCCTTGACATGTTCTTGAGCGTCAATTCGAGCTGCAACAAAGAGAGTGGGAAGACGGTTGAGACGGACCAACCCTTTTCACACTTTAAAGCATCATGCAAAGCCACGTTGATGTCCACCGCAAGAGGAACGTACCTTGAAGGTCTCGATCAAAACCGACTCGAAAAAGAGATTGCCGTCATGGCGGGCACTACACAGATTGGTGGACGTGAGGGTTCCATCACAAACTTGGGTAGGTTGGTTGCAACATGTGGCGAATACGAGGCATACGCACAGATGGTTCGCCTCCAGCTGGTGTTGCATACTTTCGCTCAGATCGCGCTGTGAATCAGCGTAAAACAAGCTGTTTTCTGGAATCTCAAACAAAGGCGCCAGGCTCGGATTAAGGTCATTCACAAACTCGCCAAGTGCAAAAATAAGGGTGTCCTCAACAGCTAGGCGGAGACTGTTAGGCTTGATCTACGCAGCAAATGTTCCGGTTAGGAGGCTTTTATGTTCTGGGTCTGAGTGTTTGTGATTTGACTCGCAAACACGCACCACAAGCTGTCGAACAATCGTCGTATTGCTCGCTGGATCAATCACCAGCTCCGTGTGCATACGCAAGAGTGGCCCTCTCGGTCCTTGGCGACTGGGCCTATGCCAGAGCAGAATGATTGCAAGCCATGTCCCAGTCAGTTGCAGAACCCAGGCATCTTGGTGCACTAAATTTTGCTGCAGAAAGCATAACTTTTGACAAGCACAAGCTCAACAGCCTTGCCCGACATACGTATTGATCCGCTGCAGCATGACAGGGTAGCGAGTGTTGTAGGACAGCTGATTGTCAATCTGGAGCTGGCCTACGGCCAAGTCCAAGGTGCTGATCTCGCCTTTGTTGGCACCTTCCAAAGCCACATCACGGCTAGAAATGTACAAGATTTCTTGTTTGGCGCTGCTGACCAAAGAGAGTCCGATACCACCTTTCAAGTTGAGAGAGCCCTTGGCCATCATCTTGCCGGAATTGCTTGTCTCGGCCATCTCTGCGTCTGTGAAGAACCCCGTCAGGAAGTGAGTCGTGGCTCTGAAGAATGCACATGCAACAGCAGCCAGCGGCAGTATCGGCCACGGCTGCATGTGGGTAGTGCCGTGGAGCAAATCATACCGTCGTGGCGTCCTTCCAGCGCGTCGGTCAGGTTGATCATACGGCACTGGCCCTGGGCGCGCACGACGACGTCCACCGCGCCACTACCAGCGGGGAATGGACTGAGGGCAAATTGTTGGTTCTTCGGAGGCCGCAATGTGGCTGAAGTGTTGACAATCAGGTAGGTACCGGCCTGTGGGCCTGTGCTTTCATCAAAAGACGCCTCCAGTGCGTATGGTCGACCCTAAGTGCACGAACACGCGCCCGGGCCGAGGTGGCCATGGGACACACACATTGCCAACTTGAGATAAACGACGCCGCGCCGCACGCTTGCTGCCGCATCGATCGTAAACTTACCTCCATCTGCGTGTTGGAACTCAGCTCGACCTGACGATTGCACGCCAAGCGACCTTCTTGCACTCGCCACTCGCTCACGTCTGACACGTTGGGCGTTGAAGCTTGCCGCAATCGAACCTGCAACTCATGCCCACCTGTCAGTCAGAAAGCCTGGTTCCCTGCTGCCTAAACCGTTGATGATGCCCATAAAACAAGCCATCATACATACCTGCGAACTGGAGATGCCGATGCGCGTGGCTTCGAGGAAGTACCCCGCTTTGTTGATCAACTGCTTGCCGTGCCAGCGCCAGAGCTGGTGCAGGTCATTTTCGTCCACGGCATTGAGACAGGCTTTGAGAAAGGGGGGCTCCCGATCACGCACGCCCACAACCTCGGCCGTGACGACTAAGCCGGAGGGCCCGACAATGCGTAAATCTTGCGTATAGTGCAGCTGCGCACTATCTCCAACTCTTTGGATGTCGCAGGCTACAAAGCGGCTCGGCCGGCCACCCATCGCACGCAGCTCCAGCCTCAAAGTTTTCTACGAGCGGAAGGCACACGACAGGCTGTGAGAAAGCACCCTCCAGTCTGCGCAAATTGAGGCAAACTGTTACGCATTCGACGCACGGCACTCAGATCATCCCAAGCAAAACGCTCTGTTGCACCAGGAAGCACTGTGTAGGTGGACTGGCAGCTTTGCTGGCGATACTCCACAGGCACGTTGCTGTCATTGCAAATGACAAATGGTGGGGTGGCGTCGGCGTCGCTGAAGATGATTTCTCGGCCTGCCCCCACGATGCGCGTGTCCACGCGCACCAACTTCATGCGGCGACGGTCAGCCGAGTAAAGCTTCAAGTGCCGGGTCCCAATGTCATCAAGGGAGAACCCAGGGCTCCAGTGCCATCGTTCTCCGCCGCTCTGTCGGCACACCGTTAGTAGGCTATCGACGCGCAGCTGCTCCCAATGGAAGGCGCGCATTTCTCCGCAAGGTAGCTCGACAAAACGACTGCGCGAGTTTGATGGCACCTGACAGGCTAACAGCGGCGCATCAGTCATGTTTTTCAGATTGTACCACGGGATCAGCGTCACAATCTTGGTTCGATAAAAGCTGCCCGTAGCTGCTTTAACCTCGACACCCACGTAAGCGGCCTCCCGCTTCGTGTCACGAGCATTGGACGACAACGCAACCGTCTGAAAAGATCCAGGGCTTTCGATGGGTACCCAAGGGCAATAGCCGTGGCCGTCAGCGAGCTTGATGCGAATCGATGCGGCCGGCATGCCCGGAGGCTTCGATAGCATGCGCGCTGCACCAGTCCTCAAAGCCTAGCACAATTGTGCAAGCCGCATTGCGCCATCATCAGCCAAGCCATGGGCCGCATGATGCTACATGACAAGCGACTGGCGAAACAACAAACCTCGTGATCTCCCTCATCTGTCGCGGGCAAAAGTTGATGGAAACAGTTTGAGAAGACAACCAAAGGCAAGCCCGTCTTGTTGATGAGCCAGTAATCGACATAAAGGCTCAAAACTCGTGCGCGGCTACCGCCTGCCAAGGTTTGTATGTCCAGGTTGACTGGCAGACGTCTGAATGCAAACAAAGAATCGTCGACGACAATGGCATCGATAATAAAAGAGAATGAAAAATAATGATATCCACGCGATGCGCGGAGCAGCGATGACTCTCAAAAATTCATTCCAGTGTCGAGCTTACCGCCCATTCCGGTCGGTGAGAATAAGGCGCGCATCCAACTCCGACGTCTTGCCAGGGGCATGAATGAGCGCCGCGTTCGACGCGGAGAAATGTGGGATCTGAACGCGAAGGCTCACGTTGTGCTGCAGAAGCAAATATCATACCAACCCAATGAGGTCAAACTCGTCAACAAGTCTCATGGGCCGTGCCACCACACAAGGGAAAGTGGGGGAGGGACAGGGGCAAGGGTCGTTTTCAAAGGACGGCAAAACATGACCAAAACTCAAGACGTGAAACACCACTACATCAACGCTGCACTGACCGCCAAGTTAATCTGCCACAGGCCCATGGCGGCGCCACTGGCAATTTCTCCCGTAACAGTGCTGTCGGGAATGGCAAAGTGTACCGCCAACGGCAGACAGTTTCGGATGACCAAGGGTGGCGAAAAGGTCAATACGTGCGATGGCAGGTGACGCTGGGCAATGGGTGATGTGTCGCGCGAAATGGCACAGCACACGTGAAAAGGGTCCTTGTCTGACTCTTCCTCGCCACCTGTGATTGGATGGCAGACCAGGCGCTCGCTCGTCATATCCGTGAGTCGGGCATAGTTGAGCCAGGAAATGCTCGTAGTCGACCAGTCACAGCCCCATGCATGGGGTCGCACTTGAATGTTTGCCGATGTGTAGGGTACGGGCACGGCACACACTTGATCAGGCTCAAGTGGTGGCAGAACGAGTTTTGGACCAACGGGCTGTACCAGGGCCAGCTCGAGCGGCACACTCGTCTTGTTGGTCACAAGCAAGCCCGAGCGGATCGTAATGTGCTTTCGTCCATCCACAACATCAATGACCACGTAGATCTGCGTCCGCGGGCGCGACTGAGTTGTGTCATGCAGGAGGTGCACGAATGTACCCGCTCGATGGATGGCCACAGGCGCAGCCAGTGGTTTGAAACCATCCAAGGTGATGCCGAGCTTATGAATAGAGTTGATAGGTGACAGGAACTGATCACGGCCCACAATATCAAACGTGATATCCTATAGTTGCAACCGAGTTGGAAAAAAAGAGTTTTAAGTCAAGATGGCAAGAAGCAGCACATGATGCAAATCAGGGTATGACATGAGCCCTGCAGGACGCAAGGACCCATCACCGGTCACGGCACGCTCGCACCTTCACAACGCCATCCAAGAGCACTTCAGTGGGGGCCTCCAAGCCGGGGCCGAAGAATGGCTTGACTTTGACCTCCAAACCCGTTTGATTGATGATGCGATAAGGGGTGAACGGTGTTCGCTCAAACCGAAATTCATTGGAGTATGCCTGTATCGGAAATAGGCAACGGGACACCCCAACAACGGAAACAAAAAAAAAAAAAACAAAAAAAAAAAAAATGAGCTGAAGACGAGCGGGCGAGAGCGCCGTGTAAATTAAGCATAAAAGGACACGCACCTCGGAAATGCTGGCAAGCGCAGATTGCACCGTGTGCACCAGACCTGGCGTTACGGTCAAATCCATGCTCTCCTCGGCCAACAAATTTGCTTCTGCCACGGGTTCATGCTCGGGCTCGGCGGTATACACCACCTTGACCAGAATGGGCCAAGACTCGAGAACGGGCTCCCATCGCGATTGATCAGGGTTATAATGGTTCAACTGCAAAGCTGCTTGGCAGGTCGCGGTCATGCCGGTGTGAACCTCCGGGATGTTGATGGACTGCAAGTCAATGCTGTTGCTTGTCGAGCGCAATTCAAACAGAGGCACGTCCCGGCCACGATAGTCGTCAATCAACATAAAGCACAGCAGCCCGGTGCGGGCGCGCAAGCTCATGTCTGTTTTACAACCCTTCTCTTCAGAGACAAGTTCGTGGTTTTCCGCTGGCTCCGCTGGTGACACCGGACGAGGCCCGCCCACAGCCAAAGCCGGCTCGGTATTGGTAGTTGAAGAAATCAAGGGCACACTGCCACTACGGGCATGAATAGCACCCGGCCCAGGCTTGGCACCGTTCTTACTCACAGAATCATCAATATCCAAATCCACGTCACCATCATCGTCCTCCGAGCCTTGGGGCCCGTTTTTAGAGCGCCGCAGTGCAACGGCTATAGAGCTATCAGACAAGATCACACTTTGCCGTAGAGCTTCATCAAACTGACTCTTTGGTTCGGTGGGCACCTCCAAGTGCCGCGTGATTTCGATGTGCCGGCGTGGCGCGTTGAGGAAGAGCCACGCAGTGCTGGCTTCCACATTTTCTCGACAAGCCTTGAGGGCAAGCAGACAGTCATCCTCGGCGAATCCCAGGCGTGCTAGGTAGCGAAGCTTGGATGCAAAAGAGGAGTTTGTGCTCTGCGCACGCTGTTCTTCTACCTTGGCCATCAGAATGGCAGCCTCATTCTCCACCTGTTCAAATTGCTTTTGAATGTCGGCAATGGCTTCTTGGCACATGTTGTACAGGCCCTGCAGCTGGGCAAACTCAACCGGAAGCACCTCATCGGGGTCACAGCTTTCCAGCTTGGCCTTGAGCTCAGCCGACAGCTGTTGCTTGGCCTGCAGCCATCGCTCCAGCTTGGCATACCTAAGCCATACGTCGGGTTCCACAGGCAGAGCACAGCGGGGCCATGAGACAGTGCGGCAAGTCTCCAAAGGGTGACTTGAATTTAGCATGAAAGAATGTGGCACACAAACTTTGTTCCAAACTTGGCGCTTCCAGCACCCAGTCGAAGAAGATCTGTTGCGGCCACTGGCCGACCAAGGCGTCCGCTCCCAAAGACGGCGGAGGATAGCCCGATGCTACCTTGTAGAAAGGTAAAATCACTCGAGGGTCCAAGCCTGCACACCAAGGCAGAGCCGGTGGCATTCAAAGGCAAAAGCAGGGTTTCAAGTTGCAAATTGAGGGTATAAAAGGAAAGGTATTTCTTATTTTTTTTCCCTTTCATCCAAGCCAGGATGCATCTAGCAGGGCTGGGCGAATACGTACAGTGGATTCTCTTGTTCTGTGCTGGATTCACTATTTCGTTGACAGAGTTGGAAGGCAGCGGCTTCGTAGGAGCCCGCTTCTGTCAGCGCCTCCAAGCACTGCGTCAGATCTTCTTCGAGATACTGCAACTTCTGCAAGTCGGCTTGGAATCGGCGGTGGCGAGCAGCACTGCGATCATGCATGGGGTGCTTGTTGAGCTTCGCCAGGCTTGCAGTTGCTTCGTCTGAAAACTGTTTCAGAATGCTCAGGAGAAGAGCCAAGTCATTGTACGACAAGCGGGCCACCAAGTGTCCGCCTCCGGCCCGATGGTCTGAGTTTTCAATATCCACCTGCACATACCAGTGTCCGCGAAAAGATGGGGTGAGTCGCGGCGAGACGCCTAGCGGCAAGAGATAAGTGTATCTCGAAACCAGAGTTGTGTCTGCGCACCTCAATCTGAAAGCGATCGGTCATGTCACCGTAGCGCAAGAAGGATTTGCGGAACAGAGATGCCGTGACGTGGGTGGGATCAACTATGGCCAGCGCTGTCTCGCTCATCCGATCGTAGCGACAGGAAAAGATTTCAAAGTTCTATTGTCATACGATGCAAACAAGAAGCAGTGCTTTCGAGTCAATCACAAGCGTTTGCACGCGTGCTGGAACCAGGGCAATGACTAACCTGGAGATTGAGCTCAGCGCGCAGGGTCCGAAAGACTTGTTCCTCGCGTCGCAGTCGCTTATTTTTTGCGGCCTGATCAGCGCGAAATCCGGGCAGTTCGCTCGATTCGATTCGAGCGTTCTGGCAGAATCGCAGCACAAGGACATCGCTTCTTGGGTCCATGATATTGTTCACGAGAATAAACTCTGCTTGTGTAATGGTGCATCGGAAGAGCATTGTTTGCTGCTCCCCGTGCATATCAGCTAGGGCGGTGGCAGAACCTCGATTGACGGGTTGCGGCACCGCAAACCGCCCACGAAGGCGGTCTTTGTGTCGGGCGTAAAGCTCCTGAAAGCCGCTAGTCGGCCGGCTGGCTGCAAATTGCGAGACCTGTACGAGCCACTGGGGCAACAACAGAACGCGCACCTCGTTTAACACTACGGAAACTTCGGCTCGGGTTGGTTGCAAACGGCACGTCACGTGCAAGCGGCGCGTCTGGCTTGGGTCGTGACCCTCTGCCCCTTTGGCAATGGCCAAAACCTGCTTGTAACAACCTGCTCGCCCCTGCTGAGGACGGCAATCGTATATTTCAACGGCCAGGCAGCTCAGCTCCAATTGCGAGCCCAGATCCCGGGGCGTGCCATCCGTCATGCTTGAAAAGACGAGATCCGAGTGGATGAGCTCAAAGCGCCCAAGCGGATTCGGTGTTTCCGTGGCCCAGTTATCCAGCAAGGTCAAGCCGACGTTGTTCAGGGAGAACCCAAACAACATGCCCATCCAGCGCGGCCCATCGAAAAACTGCAAAGAGGACGCGTTTGCTGCACTCTCTGCTGAGCCTCCAACGCTGTCCAGATCAACAGCCGAGCCGGCTGAGACGGGACTCGCCGGCTCCTCCTCAGCCTCGCTTTGTTGACGCTCAGATTTGAGACCCTTGCCGTATTCCAGCTCAAGCCAGTCCTGTAAAAGCGCAAGAACGCGGGCAAAGTGCAAACAGTTGAAATTGCGTCGTCTTACGGCGAGGCGCGGCAAGCTTCCGGCAACATGGCCCTTGAGCTCACCTGAGTAGCCAGAAGCTCAACCTCGCAGCCAAAGTTTTCACTCAAAAACCCAAGGATGAGGTCAAACTGAGACTTGTTGATCTGCACGTGAAAGCAAGACCGCATGAAAACAAAATAAGTGAGAAAATTCAGGGGACGAAAGCGCAACCATGCGGCGGAAGGCACAGCACCGCCCCTACTCGAAGAAATCAAAGGAAGCATCATGCGTGTATACCTGGACTTGCACGTCAGTGACATGAACATTGATTCGGATATCTGGGATGTCACGGCGCTCGAGGGTCATATTGCGGTCAAAGTCAATGTCAAACTGACAATTGTCCACAATGGTCTGGCGATTTACAAGACGGAGTTGATCATCCTCGGCAGGCGCCGTGAGCAACGGGAACTCGCCCGCGTCTGAGTAGTCATCACCTGAGCTCATGTCTTCTTCGTCGTCGAGGTTGCTCGAGCGGAGAGGGTGCAACATGGAGCCTCGGCGGCTGTCCTGGAGGCCTTGCATCCAGGCAGGCGGCTCAATCTGTCGCTCGGCGCTTTCAAAGCACATATTGGAAACTTGAATGTGCAGCCGCTCCACGATGCCCAAGGAAGTAGACTCGTGATGGTATACGGCATGAGAGACGCCGTCCGGAATCTGACCCTGCTGCAAGAAGAGGATCTGATTGGACACGGTGGTGCGGCCCAGGTGGGCTTCGACGACGCGGTGGTCAAACGAGTTGCGAGGGATTGTCACTATGGGCGAACTGATCTCGATGTCCAGAGCGATCAAGGACTCAAAAGTACGCGTGCTAATCTCGTGCACCACGTCTGCTGCTACTCGTCGCATCTCAGCCAGCATCTGCTGGGTCTGCTGAAGCTGAGAAGCAAAGTTGGAGACAACAGTCAGGAAGCGGCGAGTGTGTGTGTATCTCACAGTTGCCATCCGGAGCTTCAGACGGGCAAAGTAGCGCATGGGCGGACAGTCATCAGGATGAGATGCCTCGCCGGTCAGCAAATGAAATAGCTCGACCTTGTTCACCGAGTCTTGAGGGTCGTTCAGTTTGCACGTGGTGAGCTCAAATTGAAGCATTTGGTCCCCCTCAGTGCTAAGGACAAAGGGGTAGAGAGAGCCAGCAGGGGTAGGATCTTTGACCACGACCTGACCCACACTCCCGGTCACCTGGAGGGCGTCATTTTCCAACTTGATGGCACCACAAAGCTGGTTGGCCATGCATTGGGCCACGGCCTCTCGATTACGGATGAGCGCTCCTCGCAGCTGTTTCAACGACGCCTGAACACGAATGCGAGGTAGGCTATTCCGAGCGGCTTCATCTGGTTGCCATAACATTGAATGCTCGAGCATGCTCTTGGAGAGCCCCTCTGAACTGGCTGCCGTGTGATCGGGGGACATTGTGGCTGTGGCTGCCGTTGGCACCATGGCAAAATCAAGCAAACGCGCCAGGCTCTCCCGATTCAGGTTGAGAACAATCGTGTCGATATCGATCTAAGGAGGATTCAATCAGAAGAGTACGAAAATAGCACATAAGAATGAGAAAGAAAAAAATATGGCCAAAGCCATAAGCGGGGGGTCGGATCGGGGACTGCCCAAACGTCATCGCACAAAGAACACAATGTCCATTCATACCTCGATAAAATGGTAAGCAACGCTCTCGCCGACTAATTCGGAAGCGGAAGCGTTCTCGCTGTGTGTGCGAGTGCAATTCGGGTGAGCGTCGATCAGAATGCAGTGAATGAAATCAAGAAGCCCCCGTGAACAGATCAAAGGCAAGCGAGCAGGTTGGGGTTGGCGCAACCGGACACACCTGTCATCACGAGACACCTGGCGGTAGTGAACGTGAAAAAACGAGTCCTGCTCATCATCGCGATCCTGCGGCGGGCTCTTTTGACTGCTGCCTGGCCCAAATACATGGTCTTTGTCGAGCCGAGAGGCACGCATATCCACCAGGTGGCGAAAGGGCGAATCTGGCTCTTGAGTTAGATCTTCGACGCCTGCGTGAGCAATATCTAGATCAACGCTGGCTCCTTCCGTAGACACGTCCACGGCAAGCCGACCTCCAGATAGGTAAGACATGGCAAAAGGTGTCTCACTGACGAGCAAGACCTGTGCCGACTGAAGGACAAAATTGCCTCGAAAGAGTCGTTCCAGCGGGGCTGCACCTTCGGCACTGGTGGTACTCTCACGTAGGCCAGATACGGAAGGGCGTGGCAAGCCATCCAAAGGCTCCTCTCCAGCCTGCCGTGCAGCACGATCAAAGGCCATGGCTCCCAGAGACACGGGTGTGTCCTCTAGCGTTGGGGTCATGACTGGGGTGAACGATTGTTGAAGGTCATCCAACACCTGCATGGCGCCGGAAAGGTCAGTGGCGCATTGGCGAAAGGATGCGAGGCGCTCATGGCTGAGGCAGAAGAGAAGGCGCTCCAGCGAGCCATCCAAAGCGAACAAGGGCTCGTCCAAGGTGCGGGCCTTGGCTAAATGCCGCTCGCCGTGTAGCGTGAGCGTGAAGCGATCCATCACGTGGTAGGACGAATGCTTTTCCGCCAAAACAGCCTCATAGTTGAGCCCTCGACCGGCTAAGAGCTGCATGTTTGAGATATCAAAGCGGTAGCGCTCCGTTCGCTGGTGGCGTGGTTTCGGGTGCTCCTGACGCAAGAGCATGGTCGGGGAAGAAGGTGGTGTCTGAAAGGCATCTGCGGTGCCGCCAGGCTCGCTAAGTTGGTATGGGGTGTGCTGCCCATCTGATGCGAGGCCGGTGTCCTCACCCAGCAGCAACGGCGCGGGTGGCGAACGCGGTGCGCCGCTGTGGTTGGTGTCCTTGTCAGTTGCAGCAGCTGCCGTGGCCGCGATGGGACGAGTCTCTAAACTGGTCAGAAGCTCAAGGTGGGCAACATCATAGGGCGGGTGCATAGCAGACGATCCAGTTTGCTCAGCAAACCGGGATGAGACGGCTGCACTTTCGTCCTCCTCGTCGGGATCGATTGTAAAAGCTGTAAAGCGGCCCAGATCTAGCACCACCATGGCAGGTTCCTGAATCACATCCTGCCGCCCGGTCAACACAACCAGGGGAGCCTGTACGTCAACATTGAGGCTGAGCGTGCTTCCCAGGGCGCCAGACCAATCGCTGTCGCCCATGGTGGGCTCGGGCCGTGATAGTTGTCGATGAAGAACCGTATCCAAGTCGGTGGCCGCCGGTGCCACGGCGCTCATGACATCGAGTGCATAGGCCAGAACGGCCTCGAGCCACTCTGGTGAGATGTGGACCTGGAAGGGTAGTAGGTGCAGGTGAAGAACGTAGTCATAGACTGACGTCGGCAAATTCTCGTGCAATGAGACGGAAAGACAGGGGGCATCTGTGGCGTCGATGCCATCGTGATCCGGCGCTGGCGGCGTGCTTTTTGCGCCAATGATGGTCTTGGGCGGTGCCCCAGGCTCGAGCGCGCTGCTCAAAAGCTCGCAGACGCCCAAGGTGGCGTGCAAAGAGAAGCCTGGCTCGGGAAGATTTCGTTTTTCAAAGGAAAAGGCAAAGTTAGTGGAGCGTACTTCCAGCAGCATGTCATCCACGGCCTGCTGGGTCGCGGTATCTATCTCGTGCGCGTCCAGAGCTTCAATGGTGGAAACGTAGGTGCGGTTGACGATCTTGAGGCCAAACTGTTGGAGATTGAGGGTGACACGAGCCCCGATGGCAGTTGTGGACCCTTCTTCATCAGGGGCGCGGTTACCCTCAAGTTCATGAAAGAGCTCTTGCCTTTCTTCTTCGGTCAAATGCATGCCTGTGATACCCGAACGATCAAGGCAGAGCAATATACACGTCGGTTGAGCTCGAACATCGCGCACTTCTGAGAGGCGCTGGGTGGGCAAACGCACTTTGTAAAGCTTCGGGGCCGGTCTCTGCGTTCGGCTCTGCTGCCAGCGCAGCATCAGCTTGGATTGTGGCTGCGGCCGCCGAACCAAAGAACCATCCGTACCAAGTTTGATCTACCAGACAGCGGCCAAAAGCATGTGTTGAGCCTGGGCGGACCTACACAGCGACCTCAGATAGCAGCTGCCACTCGATAGGATGGGAGCAACAACCTGCAGTCATGCTTTGTTCCTGGCGCACGGCTTTGATTTGCTGCAGTCATGCAAAGACACACACATACAGGTAATGAGTTATCCCACAGGATTCCCATTCACCCACCCATCGAGAGCTTCGGGTAACCAAAGCAAAGAAAACTTTTGCTACGCCCTTCCTTCGGCTCAACGCCAGCTGATCGAGTTGCCAACCTGGTGTGCCTGGTGAAGGACAGCATCACGACGAATTTTGCTCATCGCTAAACTGCGGAAAAACACAATGTCCTCCAATGACATGTCTTCATGAAGTTGCTTCAGCTGTGCGCAACAGGCGAGGATGTCAGTTCGCTACCAGCGCATCGGGTGAGAAAACACGTGCGTGAATGCGTACATCCAGGGCATCGGCTGTATTGAGGCTGGTTTGGGTCATTTTGCGGATCCACAACTTGATGTAACGATGCTTTCGAGCACACCAACGATCAAATTGCGCTGGGTCAATGCGAAACGTAGAGCCCGCCCCGCCAGGCTTGACGATGGTGACCCGCACAGCCTATTCTCGTGGCGTGCATTCAATAGCAGAAAAAGCAAGGTCAGGGTGAGAACGACATTGCAAAGTGTGTGCAGGCTGATACACTCACCTCAGCCGCGTAGGTCCACCACGCCTTGATTCGACGGCGCAACCGGCTTTTTTGGGCATGAAGGTCGGTCAAAGGATGCTGCATGGCCTCAGCGATTCGCTCTACCGGGCGTCTGCCACGGAGCCTGGGAGTACCACAATAATTGAGAAAAAGAACGACTGGGCGTTTGCCACCGACGAGCAGAGTAGACTGGCGGGGCGGTACTAAGCGCCGTACCGACGAAAAAGTCGCCGGCGGCCTTGACTGCGCTCCATCAGGTTGGTAAACGTCTGCTGGATGTAGATAAGGCCCCTCAGGTGTTCCTTGGAACAGACGAAGGGGATCTCGCCTGCATCAATCTCCAAGGAGAGCGCGGGAACGTCCATCAAGCCTGTAATGGTTGGCGTGAGCAGAGGCGGCGCCACGTAAGATGCGCCGAAGAAGGGGCTGGACAGGCAAATTCAAGAGGTACGATTTCAGAGGATAGCCAAAGTAACAAACCTTGACTGCGGTTCCGACGCATGCGCCCAAGAACACTGACAGGCTGCATCACAGACTCAAAATTGCCACCTATTTCCAACATTCAGTTACAACCCCGCCCACCATCCCAAGAAGGACGATTGAGGGCAAATGAAAGAAAAAGACCAAAGAACACGTGGTGAGAGACACGGCGTTGAAATGGCATGCGGTGCTTGACGCTAGGTGCTTGGTTGCTGATGACAGACTCTAGAAGTCAAGAAGCAAGCGAGACACGTGGAAGAGGGCAAACCTTGTTTGAATTGCTGTTGAAGCTCGTAAGGCCTGTTGATCAGATTCGTCCAACTGGACCCGGCCACGTCGGCATAGATCAGCAGATTCTTCATGTCCAAAAGTTTGTGGGCCACAGCTTGAGTGTGCTGTACAAACCTGTCACAAACAACAGGAATAAGAGCAGTTTGGCTGATATAAAACGGATGGGGCTTGCACAGATCGGCAGGTTGCGCGAAACAAGACCAAAGGGGACCGTGTCATGGATGGGTCTGCCTACTTGGGATTGTAATTGGCATCGGTACTCGTCATGGCGAGGCGATCCAGCCGGATCCCAAAGGCAACGGGGGTGTGGGCATGCCGGCGATCGTCCTCAAACCGAATATGCACGTTCTTGATGACCACCTGCCCATCAAGAATCACCTCAGTCAGCCAGGGCACATTGTTGCCAGATTTTTGTCTTGTTTTTTTTTTTTTTTGCGCTCTTGCCTCGGGCATGCTCGGGCAGCGTGTGGAAATAACATCGAAAAGTACCTGAATGTTGTCGACGACCTGGTCGACAAGTGAAGAGGCAGGCATTTCAGGCTGGGCTGGGCCCCCATTTTGCGCCTGCTTGTCATCCAGAGTCTAAAGCTCGACAAGACCACAGCATAAGGTGCAGGCCAAGACGTGTCGAAGACGACCACCACTGCTACCACCAGGCCCCATGGTACAAACCTTGAAGAGCTGCGCTTCAAGAATTGCAAGCTGTTCCTGTTTATGGACCTCGAGTCGCTGAGCCTCGGCTTCAGCATCGTAATCGCCAGCGGGAGGTGGGCCAGCTAGGATGTGGAGATTTTCAATCTCAATGACAACGCTGCGCGTGCGCAGGCCAGACCAGGGAATCTGGACGCGCAGCTTGTCAAGGAAACCAGCTGCAGCACAAGCAAGGTCTCTGAGCGCTCGCATATCACCACTTGGCAGCAGGAGTCGCGCAAGCTTTGTGACGATCGGACAAACCTTTCACATCGAGGGGCAAGTCGAAGCCACGAAGAGCATCCTTCCGGAGGGACAGGCCTTCAAGCTCAACATCGCCTAGCATCAAGGTAGGCCCACGACAGCTGCAGGTGAGGATGTCAAGGCCAACCCGTCATTAATGGGACAGGATTTGGCCTTGTGCTTGCATGCCGGACAGTACAGGGGAAGAGGACTGACCATTCCACACGGCAAGCCGCAGCTGGTCTGGATCCAGGTTGTTGACGTAACGCCCAAGATAGCTGTTCAGGATGGAAGAGACAAAGCCTTCAAACATGGCGCCGGTGGCGAGAGCGTCGCACCTCTTATAGCAGAGCCTAGATGCTTACGCCAGGGACGCACACCACGCCTGAGACCGGTGAGCTGAGGCCATGGGTCGGTGCGTACTCGGCGTGAAAGGGTGCGCACACGGGACGGTGGCCGGCTCTGGTACCAGTACCCAAGCAGTGACTATAGTAACGCAACACTGTTTCACTTCCTCCCGTGTTGATTGAATCCAAGCCAAGGCACACTGGCCTCGGTCGTAGTGGTGGTGGGGAGGGGGAGGGGTCGACGCAGACCGAGCAAATGCAGCCTTTAGGCCTCCACCGCCTCGTTGTCTCTCTCTCTCTCTCTCTCTCTCTCTTTCTCCTGACTTGTCGTCACTCTTCCTTTGTCTTTCATATGGTGGTGCTTATAGGGGCAGTGTGACAAGAAGTACACTTTTATCCTGTGAATTCTGTTGGATGACAATTGAAACATGACTGACATGCATGTCAAGACTCTTAGGGCATCAGTTTTGGGGATAATGGGGATAAAGATCTCAGATCCAACTTGAGCAAGCACGCGCACAGCCCCCGCGACCCGGAAAGACAACCTTGTTGGCATTGTGTTGAAGCAATGGACGGGGCGACTCACAGAAGAAAAGAAAAAAAAAAAAGCGAAAAGAAGAACTTGCAAAAGCATCCAAATGACAAAAGAAAGAAAAGAAAAGAAAAACAGCAGGTCGGCGCAGCCGAAAATAGTCACGAGAGAGAAGCCAGACCACGGTGTGCGGAAAGCAAGATGACCGTATGTTGCAACATAGGCCAACACCAACAAGACCAATTGTCTCCGTTGAGCGTGGTCTTTAGTTTTCGCCCGTAAGAGCTTCGAGAAGCTTGCGCGTGCCGGCTGGAAGCTCTTGATCCACCTCCTCAAGCGCGGAGAGGGCAGTCGGCACAACTGCCAACTCCTTGCGCATGGCCTTGGCCGCCTTGGCATCCACGTCGCCGGCTTCGAGAATGCTCAGCAAGACGAAAGCACTGCGGTTGTTCTAAATAAAGAACAAGAAACATCGAGATGAGGAACCGTGTGATGAGCTGCCGGCCCATAAGACATGTTGGCAGCGTAAGCGTGGGATGGCATTCGATGACACAGTGAGGATGGACCAACCTTGGCCAGCTCGAGCACGTCCAGCTTCTTATCAGTGGAGGTGCGAAGCGCCTCTACCAGAGTGGCAGCAAAAGAGCGAGTGCCATCCGCAGGAACAGGCAGCTTGACCAGCTGCTTGAGGAAGCGGTGACCAGCAGCTTCCTGCACCAAAGGATCACCCGAGACCACGGCCTCGGCACAAATGGCCTCGTACGCGGCAGTCGGATCGCCGACGCAGTTGGTCAAAATGGCCTTGACCAACAGCGCTGTTTGTCCCTCCCGACACAGTTCAGCCGCATGTTCAGCCACCAAGTTGAGCAGCATGGGCGAGGCGGCAGCCAACAGTTCTTGACGCCGCGTGTCCATGGGCTTTTTCGTGTGCTCGTTGGCATCGAGCGCCTCCAACGACTGGTAAAGCTGGGGAGAAAGGTACAGCTTGTCACGGTGGGAGCTGAGGTAAAACAAGACGCGTCGGCCGTACATGTCCTGGGCAATCTCGAGAATGCTGCCCTCCATCTCGGACAAGATCATCTTGCGCAGCAACACCGTGTCGTCCACCACGTCCAACGCCGCCAGCAAGGCCAGATAACCATACTCCTCCATGCAGATTTTGATAACGTAGGGCTTGAAAGAGCGAACAATGACCTTGCGGTCCTTGGCCGACGTGTGCTCGAGGCAGAAAATGGTCAAACGTGCACCATCTTGTGTGTGAAGCCTACACAAACCGAGCGAGCACGTGAGCAGAGATTCCTGTAAAATTCCCAACGAACATGAATGCCAGCTAGACAGCACCAAGCACGTACATTTCCACAAGAAGCTCCTTGACATTGTCAATCATTTCGGCCCGCTCGGTACCATCGGCCAACTGGAGATATTGGAGGAGCGCCCGGTGCAAAATGAGATGGGAGCAGAGTCCCTTCTCCAGCATGGGCAGAAGAGTTTGCTTCATGTGGCGCAGAATGTAGGGCTTTTTGGTTGGCTGATCAGCCACAATCTGCATCACGTCTTGGGCAGCATCGTCCTTGAACAGGGCAAACTGAGGGCCATAGAACTCAGCCAACAGCGCCTTGCGTTCTGGCGCCGTGGCGTAGTCGATAAAAGCCGAAGCCAGAACAGTGGAGGCAATCTGTGTGCACAACATCGTGCCTATGAGCGCCAGAGTCCCTCAGAGCGCGCACAGCCAGAGCAAGGTTCCCTGACCCTTTGGCGGATGAGCTTGCGGACGTGTCCGTAAAACTGGCGAATGATGGCCGCACGCTGGGCACGGGTGCCAAATTGCAGCAGCTTGGGAACAATGTGGCGCGAATACTTGCTGCGGCACAAGTCCAGAGTGTGGTCCACCAGTTCGGCATGAATTTTCTCGCGCTGCTCTGCCGAGCCGTAACGAATCATGCACTGCACAATACGAGCGGCATCGTGCTGGAAGATAATCTGCAAAGCCGAGGCAAAAATGGTCGTGAGGCAACAAGCCAAGTTGAAAGAGAACGTAGCCAGCCGCGCTACGGGATAAGGCTGGCAAGATGGCGTACGCTATGCAGAGAGCCGAGGCTCAGCTCGAGCATTCGATTGATAATGGGCTGGCGCTCCGCGCGTGCAAGGCGTTTTTGACGCGCCTTTTCCCACAGTGCCTTGAGATCCTGCAGCAACGAATAGTTGGGGTTGGACGCCATCTTGCGCTGCGTTCGCAGATCGTTCTGCTCGCGGTGATTCTGAGGCACTGTCTTGGCTGTAAACCCGAGAGTTGGATCAAGACAAACAGAGCACACACACACGCACGCACGCATGCACACCATAAAAGTGAGAAATTGGAACCAGGAGCTCACACACCGCGCTTCGACTGCTCGCAAGCTCAGAGTCAAAGGAAAGAGCATGTGGGAATGAAAACAGGTGTGGCTCTCAGAATTGCAGATTTATATTATCCTCAGGACGCATAGGCCAGAGTAATGTGTGTGATTGGTTATCCTCAGCAAGCCCCATCTTGGCATTCACCCCGCACACCCACGCCTGACTCTTGTTGACGCTTGCGCTCATGGCCCCGAAAAACAAGGCACACACAAAACCCGGAGAGAAATGCAACAAACCTTTCTTGTCTGTCGGAGTCCCGTCATCAGTGCTGCCAGCACGCTTGCCATCCTTGTCGCCCTTGGCTGCAAACTTGCCCTTGGCCGCAAACTTGCCGGCAGCAGGCTTGCCCTTGGCAAACTTGCCATCGCTCGACTTGCCCTTGGCCACAAACTTGCCACCAGCCGGGGATTTTGCCTTCTTGTCACTGCCAGGCGCCGCAGCCGGGCGCTTGGCGCGCTTGACCGTCGAGTCGGGCGCCATGCTGAGCACCCACGCGGTCAAAGAAAGTAAAGAGGAAAAAGAGGAATAAAATGAATGTGTGTGTGTGTGTGTGTGTGTGTGTGTGTGTGTGTGTGTGTGTGTGTGTGTGTGTGTGTGTGTGTGTGTGTGTGTGTGCCCGCACACGTGTTGATCGTCTCTCTCTCTCTCTCCCTCTCAAAAGACAGCGTGCAAACGTGGGAATGACACTTGGTAAAAGCCATCTGTCAGTGTGACGGATACAAGCTCGCATCGTTGTTGGGAACAGGTGTAAGGTGTTGTTGTTGTTGTCTGAAGGGCTTTTTCTGCAGCTCGGCGCCATGTCGAATCGGCGCCCGACTATCCCTGTGGATCCCCGGTAGGAAGAGGATCGTCTTTTTCCTGATGGTTTGCTGTGTGTGGCACGGTTGTAGACGCTAGGGCTGTGGATTGTGCATGGACAGGGGTTGAAAAGCACGATCACGGGCTCACGGCACGAATGGCTCACGGTTGCGGCCTTCGCCTTGATTGGGATCGGGACTCGCTAGCTCTGGGGTTGAATGGCAAAATGAGGCCCGCAACTTGAGCAAGGTAAGGTGTCCTTGCACTGCACGCCGGTTGCCTTGGCAGGAAGAAGGTCCGCTCTGTGAGCTGGGTGCTGAAGTACATCCTTTATGCTGATCTTTGCTCATGCGGACAGGTGATTGCCGACATTCCCGGCAACTCGGCATGCTTTGACTGCGGAACCAGCCCCTCGGATTGGGCTTCCATTACGCTGGGCATTGTGCTTTGCCTTGAATGTTCTGGGGTACACCGCTCCCTTGGCGTGGGCTGCTCCTTTGTGCGCTCCAGTGAGTAGATGCCCTGCCATTCACCCCAAGGGGCCCTACGCGCTGACGACTTTTCTCACCCAATCCGCTCCCCGCGCGCGGTGGACGCATCACTAGTCACCATGGATGCCTGGACGGAGCAGCAGCTTGCCATGATGCGCAATGGGGGGAATGATCGACTTCGTGACGTGCTAGAAGCTAACAGTGCGTTGAGCCATCTTTCGTGTTCAGAAGAGAATGCTGTTGGTCCTGCTCCTCATTGTCTGTGTGTATGCATGTGTACTGCTTGCGCTGACCTGCCAATCCTTAGATCTGACAGATGTTGCTCCCAAGTTTCGCTACTACTCACCCGCCGTGGAGCTCTACCGCCAGGTTCGAGGACCTCTTTTGCGCGTGCCTGCCAAATTTTGCAGCCCACCACAACCAACCCGCCCTCACCGAGGCAAAACTTTGCTGTGCCGCTTGGTTACAAAACAGCAATTGAAGGCCCGTGCGACGGGCCAGCCTGAGCCAGAGGCATTGCCCGAAGACGAGGTAGAGTCTCTTCATCAGCAAATGGAGCTTCTCATGCTAAACGTTAGCCAAGGTTCGAACCCAACGGGCCACGCCCGCGCATCCACCGATCCTTGATGGCAATGCTTTCCGAGAGACGGCCAAACATTTCTGTGTTCAAGCTACGCCTGCGTTTGCATGGTCAAACTGACACCACGCCGTCTCTGCATTTATAGAGCGCTCCGCAACAGCCGCGCCCTGGACCCCTGACGACCATGGCAAGTGCCAGCTGTGTGCGAACAAGTTTACCATGGTTCGCCGCCGTCACCATTGCCGGCGATGCGGCAAGCTCGTGTGTTCAAGCTGTGCGCCCAAAAATAATACCAAGCCCATCCCAGAACTCTCCATGCTGGAGCCTGTTCGTCACTGCAAGGTACGTTCAAAGCAAGCAGGGTAAAAGGGCTATCATGGCATGGCGGCGATGTTGTCGGATGACTTCTGGCCACACCACTGCTGAAAACAGATTCTTGCTATTTGATTTTTTTAGAATTGCTATCAATCACCCGTCGCCTTTCCAGGCCAGCGTGTTGGGAAGCTAAGCTCAGCCTACCAGCAATGATTGATGTTGTGCTGCCTTGTCTGGCACAAGGCCTTCTCATCCAATCTAGAAGGGCCGAGATATCCAAGGAAGTACCATGACCCTTGTCTCGCTGCCCTCTGGATCATACGGGCCGCGCCCGTAGTCCTGCGCCGACTCCCCATCTCTCTCCGCCTCCTCCGCCGCCATGCGTGTGAAACTACATGGTTGTAACAGTAAAAGCTTTGTCTGTTGGTTCTTTTCTTTCTTTATTCTTTTTTCTGTTGTGTTTGTTTCATTTCCTCCTCTACCAATGTGTACCATGTGGATGGCTGTGGCTGGGAACGCCGCCCTTTTTCCTTTTAACTAATTGAACTGGGATCCAACCCGTTTGTGATTCTTGTCACAACAAGAATCCAAAAGAAACGATCAGCATTTGCTCGCTACCAGTTGTCATTCTCTCTTCTCTCTTTTGTTCTCGTCTCTCTCTCTCTCTCTCTCTCTCTCTCTCTCTCTCTCTCTCTCTCTCTCTCTCTCTCTCTCTCTCTCTCTCTCTCTCTCTCTCTCTCTCTCTCTCTCTCTCTCTCTCTCTCTCTCTCTCTCTCTCTCTCTCTCTCTCTCTCTCTCTCTCTCTCTCTCTCTCTCTCAACCTCTCTCTCTCTCTCTCTCAACCTCTCTCTCAACCTCTCTCTCAACCTCTCTCTCAACCTCTCTCAACCTCTCTCTCTCTCTCTCTCTCTCTCTCTCTCTCTCTCTCTCTCTCTCTCTCAAGGTCCACGTCAGGTTCAGTGGGCTCTCTCTGATTTTCTTGTTTGTGGGCCAAGGGACAGTGAAACGGAACTGGAGCCAACCCATGACCCGTCGCCATGGCCAATGAGAAGGAGACTGTGAAGAAGCCCGAAGAGGCCGGTGAAGATGGGGACGTTGAGGTGCGTCTTTGGCAATGCTTGAGAGGTATTCGGTGGTGCCTCACTGTCTCCATCTCACTGCCAATAGGAGGTGTCCGACATTCCCAAGATGGCGCTCGCCGACTTGAAATTTGCGTACAGCAAAGCATCCAGCGATGTACGCGCCGCGTTGTCCGTCTACCTTGCCCGCAGTCCAACTGCTTCTCGACCTTTTGGCCCACCTTTTGACCCTGCTGCCGATGAAACCCGCTTTTGCTGCTCTTGTCCTTGTCGATTTCCCAACAGGCCCAGAAAGCCATCCAGGAGCAGCTGTTGGAGGGTATCAAGGCCGACAACATGCAGCCTTTCTACCGCGAGTGCTGCGCTGACCTTGGCTGGCCCGTGGACCAGGCTCTGGAAGCCGAAATGACCAAGGCCAACGAAGCCAAACTGGTCGAACTCGATGCCGCCATCAAGGATGCCGAGGAGAACCTGGGCGAGGTCGAGGTGCGCGGTGCCTACACCAACAAAGCCAAACACTTTTGTACCATCGGTGATAAGGTGGCCACTGAGAAGGCCTTTGCTGAAGCCCAAAGCAAAGCCATCTCCACCGGTCAACGCATCGACATGACCTTCTTCCTCATTCGTCTGGGTTCGTGGCCCGACCAACCCGCTGCCAGCTTTGCCTCCCCGTTGTTGCTGTTACGACTTGCGTCTCTTTGTTCGAGCTAATAATGTTCATTGTTTGCAAGTGTGTTCAAGTCCTTCTCTGTATCTGTGCCTGCATTGAGCTTGCCCACCCTTGATCCCTGCCGCTTTGAGCTTTGAGACTCACCGCGCTCCTGACTTGACAGGCCTCTTTCACCATGATCTGGACATCTTGGCACGCAACATTGCCAAGGCTGATGATCTGATGGAGCAGGGTGGTGACTGGGACCGGTGCGTCCTCAGCCTCGCTCAGTGGCCCGTATATCAAGCCCGCGCTTACCCACTCACATATCTTTTGCCCGCCCCGTCACCTCCGTGCCGCACCCATCGCGCGTTTCTAGACGCAATCGCCTCAAGGTCTACAAGGCAATGTACAAGCTCATGCAGCGCGACCTCAAGGGCTCGGCACAGCTCTTTTTGGAAAGCGTGTCCACCTTCACGGCCACTGAGGTCATTTCCTACGCTGACCTCATCGGCCTGACGGTTTTGCTGTCTCTCGTGGCTCTGCCCCGCCCTGAGCTGAAGAAGAAAGTGGTAGACGGACCTGAAATCCAGGAAGTGCTTCACCAGCTCCCCCTGCACAAAAAGATTCTCATGAGTCTCTACAACTGTGCCTACGAAAACTTTTTTGAGTCACTCGGTATGATGCAGTAGTTGCCCGTGGTCTTTTCGCGAAGCACCTCAAGTCTTGTGATGTGATGTGGCTGAAAGGCGGGCCACGACTGACGCTCATGCTTGACCCCATGTTCTGTGTGGTATTCTGCAGTGGCGATTGATGACATCATCTCCCAGCACCGCCTCTTTAGCCAACACGCGGCCTACTACATTCGCGAACTGCGAATCATGGCTTACTCCCAGTTGCTTCAATCCTACCGCAGCGTGACGTTGGCGAGCATGGCCCAGATTTTTGGCGTTTCGGTCGAGTTTGTCGATCAGGAGCTCTCGCGTTTTGTTGCCGCTGGTCGCCTCAACTGCAAGATTGATAAGGTGCACTCCCTGGCCCCTGGCCGATGCGGGGCAGCTTCAACCCATCCAGGCCTGACGGTCTCGCTCAACCTAGTGCGGCTGACGCCTGACCTTATTGTGGGGATGCCGTTGCCTCTAGGTCGGTGGCGTAGTGGAGACGACCCGCCCGGATGAGAAAAACAAGCAGTATGCGGACACCATCAAAAAGGTTGGTTTCTGTGCGGCTTACCCGAGTTTTTTTTTTTTTCTTGTCTTGACGTCTTAATTTTATCAAAGGGAAAGGTTGGTCGGCAATCTTCAACTCACGTGCGCTTTGATGTCGTCAACAGGGTGATCTTTTGCTCAACCGCATTCAGAAGCTGAGTCAAGGCATCAACATCTAGGCTCTCTCCCCCTCTCTCGCTTCAATCACCTCCGCTGTTTCTGTGCCGTGTTTGTACATGTTGCCACGCAACCCTTTGTCGCCTTGCCTGTTTTGTGAATTGGATGGCGACCGCGTACTGAACACCAGCCTTCCACCACCATTGTGTCTGCTCTTGCGATTGCTTTGAGGCAAAGCACTTCTCATCACACACTGGCACTTGAATCATCGTTCCTTCTCAATTGTTGCCGGTTCAATTCGTGTTGCACAAGGGAAGCGACGTAAGGTTCAGATTAGCTGCCGATGCGAACGGCAATGCCCGCCTCACGAAGTTTGGTAATTACCAAATTGGGAATGAGGGCACATTCGCAAAGATTGAGCTCGACCAGCTCAGTGGCGCTGCGCGCAAGCTCCAAGACGCCCAAACTCGTAACGTTGATACAATAACTCACATCCACCCGCTGCAAACGACGACAGCCAGTCGCTAATGCCCAGGCGCAAGCAGACATGATGAGTTTCTGGGACAGCAAGACGCAAGTCGTTCCTGGGTCGCAGTTGTGGTCGCGCGAACAGACACAAACAAAAAAAAAAAAAAAAAAAATGACGCACCCAGACTCAAAAGAGTTTCGTCGGTCAGGATGTAGCATTGGCGCAAGGTCAGGGAGCGCAGCTCGGGACAGAATATGGCTAAAAGACTGCCGGCCGAGTCTGTCAAATTGTTGCAGCCGGCAAACGAGAGGGTACGCAGTTGAGGGGCCCAGGCAGCCTGGTGCAAGACAGACGTGACTCCGTCCTCCACGGCAGGGGCATTCTCGACGCGTAGTGATCTCAGGGAACCTGGCAACGCAGCCAGCGCTCTGTGGGTGACTTGGGGGCAATGCTGCACAGAGATTTATACTGAGAATGTGCATGTCACCACATCAAAAAAAAAAAAAAAAATGAATAAAGAAATAAAAATAGGACAGTCAAATGCCTGTGAACACACTTGGAGCGTAAAGGCCTGCAGCGCCGGCAGGCTGCGTAAACAAGCCATTAGAGCAGGATCCTGCAGCTCAAAAAAGTGGCTGAGCCGCAATTCTTGCAGATGTGCCAATGTTGACACGCCTGCGTGTACCGGAAGCAAAGTGGCGTGGGACGATATCATGGGATGGAAGAGTTTCACGAACCATGCAGCGCCCTGGACTTGGCTCGAGACGAGCAGCCTTACGCACGCTGGAGAAGTGGTGTCGCGGAGAGATTAGCGCAACGGCGCACGTCCAAGCTCCGCAGGAGGGGACATTGCGACAGGAGGCGTGAGACGCCAAGATCCGATATCTGCGGGTGGAGTGGGCACGGGTGAGCTTGTGTGCGATGGCACTGCTTTTCACTGTCCTCCATTGGATTGAGAGGCCATCGCGGACATACAGCGTCGCATCCAGTAAGAATGAGGGTATGCAACGAGGTTGCGTGCGCTCCGCAACCAGCGAGGGCTGCATCAGTGAGCGCAGGGCAATCGTGCAAGTGCAGCTCCTGTAGTGGGAGTCGACGGCGGTCAATGTGCACGAGGGCCTTGTGGCAAAGCGCATCAGTGGCCCCATTTTCAACGCGACCAAAATCAAGGCATTGCCAAGGTCGTCGCTGGCGCTGACAGGCCTCGTACAGCCGTCGACAGGTTTGGGCACAGGCCATCATATCAACAAATGACAAGCGCTGAAGGATGCGGTCCAAGACCTGATCGGGCATATCTAGCAACCCCACCGTCAGGAGCCCTTGAGAGCCGGCAGTTGGAGGCGGAGTTGCTTTTAAGCTTGATTGCCTTGATTGCTGAAGGTAGCCTCGGCGTGGAATGTACATCACTTCGTCATCCTGACGCACGACGGTGTAGAGATAGTCGAGGGTTGGATCGGCGGCCGCCGGGTCTGAGATCTTGGCTGGCGCGGTGGCGGGCACCGAACGACGGTGCCCGTGAGGGGGAAGATTCACGTTGGCGACCAGATTAGCCGAGTCTGGGATGGCAACGTGGTATGCAGGCCCCACAGCAACAAAATCTGACTCGCTGTCTGCTGACTCCTGTGCCAGCTCAGAGCGCCAGCTTGCCAGAAACGACTCGAGTTTGTCGTGGCCCGGGGGGACGGAAGCCAGCACGTTGGTGGGAGGAAGTGTGTGAGGATTAGATGCGGTGGGTAGTGTGGCATAGGCTTCAAGCGCTGGCCTCGGCGCGCTCTGGGTCCGCGAGCTGACACCTGAGTGCAGACCCGCGCTGCTGCTGGCCTGCGCCTGGGCGCCGGGCTCGTCATAGTCGTCATCCGAATCCGTGGGATCCTCAACCACCAACAACTCATCCTGTGAAGCACTATCGTCACCCTCACTGTCCACACTGTGATCGCTGAGCGCAGGTGGGGCAAGAAGGGCAACTGCTTGCAAGCCCAGTGGAGCTGTGAGGCCTCGAGAGACGACGGGCGCTGCCTCGCCCTCTTCTGACTCGCTGTCGTCGGAGAGTATGATTTGCTGGAAGCGCTGGGCTATGGAGGCACCGTAGTCGCGCTCACCCATCCTTTTACGTCGCTGTGGCCCTGCTGCCGCCCTCTACGCCCTGTTGGCTTGGAATAGCGCTCCACCAGCCCCTGTCCCGCTTCACCTCAATAATCAGCAAGCGTCGCCAAGCAGAGAGAGCACAAAAGGTCTGACAATTTTAGTTTGAATTGTCAGCAATGGATTGCACGTTTGTTGAGCCCTTACTTTAGTTAATGTAGTAGAGGGTGCTGTTATAAGGCCTGATGCTTACCGCCCTTGGCGACTTTGTGTCGCCATTCTAAGGGTTGTTGTAGTTGCCTAAATGATCATGACCATTTAATTTTTCTCCTTTGTCAGTGTGCGATCTCTGGATCTCAGCAGGATGGCGTGGAATGGCCAGAGGGGAAGATGGACGGGGATGGGCATGTTTGTGGGGTTGCTGATGGCGGGATCGCTTGGGGTGGTGGCGGCGGACAGCTGTGATGTGAGCATGTTTGGGGCTCGAGGCGATGGTGTGCACAACGATACAGCGGCCATCCAAGCAGCCATTGACACGTGTGCGCCGCAACACGAGGCAGTGGTGCTGAGCAACGGAACCTTTATGACCACCGCGCTAGTGCTACGGGATAACCTGCATCTGGTCGTGGCCAGTGAGGCCACTCTTGTGGCCATGGACGACATTTTCACCTGGCCCAACTGGACGAACAAGTTTGCCGACGTGATCTCCGGTAACAATGTGGCCAACGTTACCCTCGAGGGACCGGGCCTCATTGATGGCCAGGGGGCTGCCTGGTGGGCCTACGCTCATCACATGGAGCCCGTCAAGACGGACGGCACGCGACCGCGATTGATCACCTGTGCCGACTGCAGCAACTTTACCGTGCGAAATCTGCGATTGCTCAACTCGCCAAGCTATCACTACTTTGCGTCCGGCCGCCAGTGCCAGGTGCTCAACGTCACAATCCAAAGCCCGCCCTTTGAGGTAGCTCCCAACACGGACGGCATTGACATGGCCTGCCAAGGTGGCTACGTGGCCCACAACCACATTGTTAACGGGGACGACTCGCTCTGCCTCAAGGCCCCTGGTCGCGACATTGTGTTTGAGCACAACTACGCCGAGCAAGGCAACGGCATTGTCATTGGCACGAGCGATGGCATGCAGGCGCAAAACGTGACCTATCGCCACACGCTCGTGAACCGCACTCAGTTTGGCGTCCACATCAAGTTCAAGTACAATCAGACGGGCTACGTGCGTGACGTGACCTTTGACAACATCACCATTCTTGACCCCTATGGCTATGCCTTTGGCATCAATCAAAACGGCCAATCGATCACAGACAACGGTACCGCTGCCCCCGCCTGGCGTGCTGACGTCAACATCTCCGGAGTCACCTATCGCCACCTCCGTGGCCGGGCGCATGTCGCCGGCAAGTTTGTGTGCCATGAGCAAGCCTCCGGCACGTCACTGGGCCCTCCCTGCACCAACGTCACAATGGAAGACATCGACCTCGACACACAGATCGGCTGCATTGTGGAAAACGTCTACGGCACCGCCCTCGACGTCAACCCCTCCTCATGTGCGCCCCTCCCCTCCCCAACTTCATCGACCACCCTCAACCGCGCACCGTAGTCGCTGAACGAGTGTTGTCTGTTTTGTTTTGCTGACAATTCATGTGTGTGTGATATCGTGCTCTCTCTCTCTCTCTCTCTCTCTCTTTCTCTCTCTTCTCGCTCTCTGTTTATACCTTTCTCTCTTCTCGCCACGTTTCCATTTCTCTTCCATCTTCATCATCATCATCATCAGTAGGAGCAGGTTAGCAATTGGTGAGGGGGCAAGCAGCAGGGGCAAGCGCGGGGTGGCGCGGGACCTCATTGACCTGAACGGTTGGCTTTCTTCTCTCTGGATGAAGGACGTGATGATGGGAGGGCGGGTAGCGGGTAGATGGGGATGGGTTAGGGTTGGATGCTTGACGTGATGAACTGGGCGCTGCAGCAGGACCGCCAATTGTTGTGCTTGGAGGCTTGAGCCAGCAAGGGCAGGCGGCTCAGAGCAGCAGCACCTAGCTTTCTCCTATCCCACTGCATGTGCTCATTTTTCCCCTCCAATGTGCTTGATCAGCGGCCTACCGAGTACGAGTCTAATAGTTGGTCCATCCCCGAAGCAAATAGCCAACGGGCGGCTCCAGGCAATCAGAATGGCGTGCCGCGAGGAGCATGCAGGTATGGCGGCTCTCGTGTTTGTGCGGTCCTCCAGAAGCATGATAGATCAAGGCACCGATATTAACGCCACCATTGCACGGTCTGATGTTGGTAGCTATGGGCCATGGCCACGGCCATGGCCACGGTCACAGTCATGGAGATGGCTGTGATGACCACGACGAGCACCCCGAGCGTGGCGTCCAGTCGTCCTTGTTTGACGCCATTGATCTACCTCACGTTTGTAGCCATGCCGTCTTTGCCGTCGCCCCGCTCTTCGTGCCAAAGCCAGGCGCCGTGTCCTCTTGTGGCCTCTCCAGCCGACTGATTGCACCTCGCCTCGCCATGCTCAGGTCACCTGTCTCAATGAGGCCGCGTCTGGATCCATCAGAAACGTCTTCAAGCCGTATCATGAGCGCGAGGACCGGACCACTTGGGTGGAGAGTGATGCGGATGAGCAATTGATCGTGCACATCCCCTTCACGGGTGACGTGAAGCTCAAGTCGATCACGGTCATTGCCGAGGACGGGGATGAGCACCCGACACGCATGGTGGCCTTCAAAAATCGTGACGACATTGATTTTGACAACGCCGACTCGGCACCCAGTGACCAAACCTGGCAGATGAACCCAGATCCAGAGGGTCGCCACCCTTATGAAACACTCATTGCCAAGTTTAACGGCCTGCGCAGCTTAACCCTTTACTTTCCCGAGTGCGTCGCCGGCGACGTGACAAAAATCTATTACATTGGCCTGAGCGGAGAGTGCAAAACTGTGGTGCGCCGAAGCCTCATCACCGTGGCTGGTACGTTTGCTGGAACAGCCCCCGCTTTGCTTTGAGCTTTTATCGACCTGCCGGCTCACACTGGAACGGCATACCACACCGCGCGGGACTGTAGAAGTGGCCGCCCGCCCAGAGGATCACCAGGAGACCATCAAGGACAACTCTGAAGCCAAGCAACATTTCATCTCTTAGGACGCACACCAATCCTTCGTTGCCTGTGTGTTGAGGGATACAATCTCTTTCAATTGCAGCCCAATCCCATGCCTTGCGCCTGCCGAGCAGTCGCATGGGCCAAGAGACCAGGGAAAAATGACGCCGCCCGCTTCACCAAGGCGGCGGCGAGCTTCCCTCCACCCTAGCCTCCGCCTATCTCCCCTCATGTTGCCGTGCCTGTGTGTTGCGCTTGCCGCTTGCCCTTCCCTTCCATTTTTTATAACCCTGCCTCAGTGCATCGTTGCTCCTCCTGTGCGCAACTATGCGCGCTTTTTGTGCATACAGGCAATCCATCTCTCTGATGCTAGTACCGCCCAAAACCTGCCAAGGTCCCACAACACAACTACTTGCTACCACCATGGTCGTGGCTTGCGTGTTCTGTAAAGCGTTAAGATGCTCGCTCTACCAGCTCTCGCGTCAAAGGCCGTTTCAACTTTATCATGCGCAGCGACACTTTGATGCGTTTCGTCAATTCTCGACGACCAATGCACCATTCGCTCGAACCAATAGAATAATAAGCATAATGCTACTATGATGAGACAAAATCTAATAATATCAAAAGTCAAGTCAGGTTCCGGCCTGGCAATGGGGCCGTGTTATGCCGCGGGGTAAACTACACAAGAAGTGGATGAACGTGGCACGGGCAGAGGTTGTTGTTCACGCCACTCGAGCCCATCAAATGTTGTTACATTGGGGAAGGCTGCTTGCCCGTTGAATCCGCCAATCGCGACCAAAAGGCCCTGGAAGACTACCAAACCCATTCGACCACGCGGCATGGGCAGCGGCTCGCCAAATGACCAAGTTGCACCATCAAATACCTCCATGCTGCTGAGATACACTCCGTCCGCCACGCCCCCCACCACATACACAGACCCGTGAAAAACTTGAGCCCCAGCAAAGGCTCGCGGCACCTGAAGCGCCGGAGCCCAGGCCCAAGACCCAGTGCCGTTGTACACCTCCACCGTGTTGAGCCCCATGTTACTGTAGCCGCCGATGACATACAGGCGATCCTGATACACAACGGCGGCTGCTCCGAAGCGGGCTTGCAACAGACTTGGCCCGGGCTGCCAACTCAACCCATCAAAAAAGTCCACCATCGCCAAAACGCTGCCATTGGCACCACCTGTCACGTACAGCAGGTCCTGAAAAACAGTCAGGCCAATGCTGTGTCGGGCAATGGGTAGAGGATGCTCCTCGCGCCACCCAACTGGGTTGTACGAGGCCACCACGTCATATGGTGGAGACGGCCTGAACTGGCGCCCGCCCACGGTGAAGATGCGGTTCCGAAAGACGACAGCTCCAAAAGAGGCGCGACGAGGGAGCAGGACTGCCGACGTCAGGTTGGTCCAGGTGCCAGCATCCAGTCGCAGCATGTCTCCCACAGTATCATTGAGATCGGCTCCGCCAAGCACATACAGGGCCGGCGTGTACAAGGTCGGATACAACGCTTCCAGCAGACTGCGGGTCTGCCCCATCTCCAGCTCTACATCACGCCCATTCACGAAAACCTTGGTCCCTGTCCCGGTCGTGTTGATGTGCAAATGGCCCTCGGTGTCCACCAGCACCGCTGCGTCCTGCACCACTGCGCCCACACCTGTCACCAGCAGCGATGCCGCCAAGCCCCACAGGAGCCGCCACCGCCAGCTTCGGCCTGCCATCCTGACACCCTTGCAACTCAAAAAAAAAAAAAAAAAAGTTTCAAAAAAGTCACAAAAAAGAAAAAAAGTAAAAAAAAACTTGTTCCATTTGAGGTCTTGTCAAAACCCTTTGTATGCTGTTGTTCGTTTGCATTTACGAATGTCACGAATGTGACAAGCGAGGCAGAGAGGAAGTTTTGCTGTCTGCTCAAGGGGTTCGGGGTTCGGGATGTCGCCCAAGCGGTGTCCGACGCCACCAAGCCCACAATGGCCGTGGTGATGTAGTGTGGAGATCTGGGCGCCGAATCACTGCCGCCGAGCACAGCACGAAAGCTGCCATTTGGCTTAAAAGGCATGATTTGGGTATCATGCCCCATTGGTTGTATTCCCACCTGTATCGCGCGCTGCCCACAACGGTTGGAAAGGAGGCAATAGGCTCTGCAGCTAACTGCTGGCGAGTGTTAGCAGGCCTTCATTTTTTTTTTGCTTTGACGTGGCAGCGGCTCTGGCCAAATAACAATAGGGGGTTGCAATTAGTGGTTTTTAAAAGCACACCTCAATCACTCAAATAGCCTCTCGGACACCACCCACTCGCCTTGAAAATGCCAAGAGCCGGCAGGCGTCGGGGCGCCCAACCACGTGAGCAACAATTTTTTTTTATCCTCGAGGGGAAGGGAAGCAGTCTTATCTTTCTTTACAAACGTTGGACGGCAATCTATCTTGACATGTCATCATCACAAACAGAAAACAATCATCGCCTCTGGGCGGGTGCCTCTTGGACGTTCGCGCATGCGACGCCTCAATTCGCACCCTTGCCCAAACGGCGAAGTTCACGATCGAGCAATTGATTTTCATTCTCGCTTTGCGCCAAGTTCTCCTTGAGCATTCGAATCTGAGCGCGGTCGTTTGTTGATGAGCGCAGGCACCAACCACAAGTATGGGACCCAAAAGACAACGAGCCCCGACCACACACCTTTTCCTCGGTTTTGGCCTGATATTCGGCAATAAACTTGCGCAGGGCCTTGATTTCGTGCTCGGCCTTGGCGCTCGTTGTTGCCGGTGCAGCCATGACGGCCTCCAGCTGTGAGAGCCGCAAATCCCGCTCAACCAGCTCGCCTAACACCAGCCCCGCGCACAATAAGAAAATCAATACCCTACTCGGGCCTTGGAAACTTGCTGGTCCCCCCCTTGCACTATTTTGCGCTCCCTGGGAATCTTCAAAGCTTTTCCAATCTGGCGCATGCGCAACCTCACACGTACCATTGAGACGTTCGGCCTTGGTGGTCGCATAAGCCAATTCAGCCTTGAGCGAAGCAATCTGGTCCGTTGATTGGGTCTCTGCCTGAGACATGGCCGTCTCGAGCTGCACCTGTAAGTGCTCCAGAGCCTCTTGCCCCTTGCTCTTGACAGCCTCGAGCTCCTGTGTCACAAAAAGTAGGAGACAAACCAATGCATAAGTGTCGTGTAGTTTGTCCCTTGGCGTCCCCTGCACTTGGAGTGGACGAGCTGAGCAAGCATTTACCTGCTCAAGCGCGCTGACTTCCTCGCGAAGGGCTTTCTCCACCTGACTGGCGTGTTCAAGCGCCTCCTGTTTGGCAGCCTCCTCAGTCAAGTGGAAGAAACGTAATTCTTCTTGTTCTGAGCGCTCACTCTGTAGCCGCTCGTTCAACTCGGACACGTGAGCCTGAAGTTCCTCGTTGGCCTAGCGAGGTCAATGGAGCGTCACAACAAGAGGACAAAAAATGAGCATGGTGCATTTGCAACCCGTCGTCACATGTCGTGTCTGAGCAAAGCGCACCTCCTCCTGTTCACGTAAGTCTTCCTTAACTTGATGAAGCTGCTCTTGCGCTGATGATGCTTGCTCGTGAGCGACCGTAAGCTCTGCTTCGTGCGCCTTGCTCTGAGCAGCAGCTGCGGCTTCCAAATCATGCACCCGACCGAGCAGCTGGTCAGACTTGCGAGTAAGCCCCGTCACCTCAGCGCGTGCCACCGCATGTTCAACCAGCTGGCGCAAGCCAGAGGCGCGCTCAGCGTGCAGCTGGGCCTCCAAGACCTGCACGGTCTTGCGCAACTCGAGCAACTCCTGCGTCATGTGCTCAGCATCATCGGCGCTCGATAGCAGCTGGGCAATTTGCTCCTCGCGAGCGTCCAGCTTCTTCTCCAGCGACGTCATGGTGGCTTCGACGCCTGAAAGCGCAGCTCGGGTATTGTCAAGCTGCGTGCGCAGGTCTTCCGCTGACGTAGCATGTGCGTCAGCTTGCAGGCGTGCCTGATGCTCGGCCGCTCGCGCAGCAGCAAGTTCGGATTGCATCCGGGTGTTGGCTTGCTCAAGCTGCTTCACCAGATCTTGGGTGTGTTGCGTCTCATTGAGTTGTGATTGAAGCTGCCCCGCCAGGTCGTTGACCTCTGTCCATGCACTCTGCCAGGTTGCAACATCTGACTGCAGGCGCGCCAATTGCGCGGCATAGTCGCTGTGACGATATTGCTCATCCAGTTGCTTCAGCTCAGCTTTGTGGCGCTTGTACATTTTGCGCAGGTCGGCCTCCAGGTTGGCCATTGTCTGTGCTTGTGAGGCGTTCTCGGAACGCAACGTGCGCAACTCTTGGGCTCGCTCAGCATCCTCCTTATGAAGGCCCTGCAACTCGACGACTTGTGTTTGCAAAGCTTCTTTCTCGACGGCCCAAGCCTGCGCCTGCGCCGCGTGCGTCTCCTGGGACTCGACCAAGCGTGCATGCAAAACTTGTGTCTCCGCCTCGAGGGCAGTCGCGCGGTCTGTACTATCACGATGAGCATCCTGCAGAAAGCTCAGTTCCTCCAACAAGCGCTCCTTGTCAGCCATGCGCTGTTGAAGCTCAGTCTGTTCCGCAGCAAGACGGTTATATTCCTCAACACGACGTTGTAAGGCGGTCTCAAGCTCAAGGACGCGAGCATCGTGATCCACGGCCAGTTGTTCAAGCTGGGCGTCTTGTGCATCGCGCGCCGCCTGGGCGGCAGACATGGCGACCTCGGCGGCAGCCAGCTGCTCGTGCAGTTGCACGTGTGTGTCGCGAAGCATTTCATTGCTGATGCTCAATGTCTCGACCAACTCCAGAAGTTGGGGCTCCTCAAGCTGTGCGGCCCGCTCAAGGGCGTGCACCACTCCTCGCAACGGCGAAGTGCTCGTCTCGGCATTGCAGGTGGAAGCCGCTTGAGGTGCACGATCCGCCATGGGTGAGGTGGCCATGTGCACACGAGGCAAGGTGCGTCGTTGTCTTTGCGAGGGCGTGTGTGCGTCCTCTACCACGATACAGGGCAACGCCTGGCCCTCAATAGGTTGGGCGGTCGGCGTCTGGTTATCAATGCTGGCCTGCTCTTGCCCTTCCGTGAGCAGTCGACGCGCTAACTGCACACGCTCCGCAGGCAGAGCGCTGCGTCGATTCGGTAAGTTGGTCCACTGTTGTGGGGTGGCCGGAGCACTATCATCTTTCTGTGGCGAGCGCCCTGCCTTGAGACTAGCCAGCGCCAAGCGCGCACGGGCTTGAAGGTCGCTGTACGTGTTGTGTGCTGATGTGGAAGCAAGATCGCTATCAATGCGCTGCAATGTGTCTACCAAAGAGGCCATGCACTTGGCCACGGCCTGGTCGGCAGAGCTCTGCTCCGTTTTGGCCTTGGTGCTCCGAGGAAGGCTGTTTTGAAGCTGCCCGAGTGCCCGGCGGCGCGGAGTTGCAAAGCCCTGCAAGGCAATCAGGAACCCGTGTGAGTAAGGCACACGGCGTGAGTGCCAGCAGAAAGCTTGCAGCCTGAACAAGTGATGACGCAAGGATCGGCCCCTTTCCAATCAAGATCGCCTACCTCAGGCACACTTGGAACTACGTTCTCCTGCTTGGCCAAGGCCCGAGCCAATGGCGTGACAACGTCCATCTCGTCTGATGGTCAAGAATCACGTGTAAAGCAATGGACGTGCGACCTTTAGGCTGTCAAGATGCCACAACGGCCACAACGCCGCTCCCAGTGAGGACCGGCAAGATTCAAGTGAGAAGCGTTTGAGACGAATGATCAAAACGTCTCAGCAAGGAGGAAAAAGAAAAATCCAAAAAAACGATTTTTTTCGTGCTCCCAGCTCACAAGCAGGTTTGTTTTTGAATTTTGGCGGGAAATCCAGCGGCGATTTGAATGCTCGACTCGACCAAGGGTCATGTAATTTTGAATTGTTATGATCCAGTATAACAGTCTTCAAACTATTCAAAAAGTCCGTGTTGTAGCTCCGCCCTCGATTCAAATAGCCGTTGCCGTGCTGACCAACCCAAAGTAGAAAAAAAGCGCGCTGGCGCCCATTCCCAAAGCAGAACGCCACAACAAGACGCATGCATAACGTCGGGCCATGCACGAGTATGCGGGCTGTTGTGGCTGTTTTATGCCCCGCGGCCCACGCTCCTACCACCTGCCTTCCCCCCTCTCCCGCCCTTGATACAAGTGGGGACGAATCAACTTTCACCATCATTTTACAACTCTTCAACCCACTTTGGATCATCTATCAAGTTGACACTGCCATCCTCCCGACCACCACTTGCACAACAGCATCAAGACCAACAACACAACACAGCACACCGCCATCATGACGGACCGTCTCCGTGACTTCAAGTTCAAGGTTCGCATTCTGCAACCTGCATCGACTGCGCACCCTTGATCGGTCATCGACTCGTCACATGCCCAAGTCGCTTGCCTGTGTTCTTCTCTCACTCCTCGGGCTGGATATTTGTTTGTACAGGGTCGCGATAGCGACGCAGCACGCAATCGCCGCCGTGAAAACGTTGTTGAGTTGCGCCGCACCAGCAAGAATGAGCAGATGATGAAGCGCCGCAACTTTGTGGCCACCGACGACGTCAAGCCCCTTGGCGAGAGCAGCCAGAACATCCTGGAAGAGAACACTCACATGGATCTGCCCCAGATGATTGTGGCAATGCAGTCCCCCGATATTGCCACCAACTTGGCCGGCACCGTAGCTTGCCGCAAGCTTCTGTCCAAGGGCCACAACCTTCCCATCGACAATGTCATTGAGGCCGGCCTCGTGCCCCGCCTCGTCCAGTTTCTGGCTCGCGACGACAACTCCAAGCTGCAGTACGAAGCCGCGTGGGCTTTGACCAACATTGCCTCTGGCACCTCTGAACAGACAACCGCCGTGGTCGAGGCCAATGCCCTGCCCTATCTCATCAAGCTCCTCAGCTCCAATGACGAGGACACCGTGGAACAGGCCATCTGGTGCATCGGTAACATTGCTGGTGATGGCCCCCACTACCGCGACATGTCGCTGACGGCCGGTCTCCTTCAGCCCCTCATTTATCTGCTCAGCAACAGCCCCAAGCTGTCCCTCCAGCGCAACGCCACTTGGGTCTTGGCCAACCTGTGCCGCGGCAAGAACCCCCAGCCCAGCTTCGAGGCCGTTCAGAACGCCATTCCCACCTTTGTCAGCCTGCTGGCGTCGGACGACCAAGATACCGTTGTTGATGCAGTCTGGGGTCTTTCATACCTCTGCGATGGCGAGTACCGCCGCATCCAGGCCGTCATTGACGCCGGCGCCATTGCACCCCTGGTCACGCTGCTGGCCAGCCCCGTGTCCCAGCTGCAGCTGCCCGCCATTCGCTGCCTTGGCAACCTGGTCACTGGCGATGACATGCAGACACAACAGGTGGTGGATAGCGGAGCTTTGCCCATCTTTGCCCGCCTTTTGGCTTCGCACAAGGAGAACATCCGCAAGGAGTCATGCTGGGCTCTCTCCAACATCACTGCCGGTACCCAGCCCCAGATCCAGGCCGTCATTGACCACAACCTGATCCCCCTCATCGTCAAGGCGCTGGCCGATGGTGACTTCCGTACTCAGAAGGAGGCTGCCTGGGCTCTGGCCAACATCACCACGAGCGGCACCATCCATCAGATCAGCTACATTGTTGGACAAGGTTGCATCAAGCCCCTGGTCGACCTGCTCGATCGCGATGACTCGAAGATCATCCTCGTGTGCATGGATGCCATTGGCCGCATCCTTGAAGCCGGCAAGCAGCCCGATGGCTCTAACCCAGTCTGCGAGTGGCTCGAGGAAGCCGGAGGTGTTTCCTTGATTGAGCAGCTTCAGGATCACGAGAATGAGGAAATCTACAACAAGGCCCTCGAGATTCTCGAGACCCACTTCGCCGAAGAAGACGAGGAGGACACTGGCATGTTGGTGCCCGATGCTAGCGGCACCAGCTTCAACTTTGCCACGCCCGTCCTGGCTCAGGGTGGCTTTGACTTTTAAGAACTGACCTTTCCTTCCTCTGCTCGCCCTTCATTCATGCGTGGCGATTTCTTCGGCATCGGCGCCCACTAGCTAGACCCCCATCACTCTTTTCCTTTGACCTCCATTCCTCAACTGCAGTGCAGAACGGGAGGAGCTCTGTACATTGACATCGATTTAGGACTGTGCATCCTTTTGTGTTGTTTCTTCCCTTGAGTTTGCTTGTTTCCGTATTTGTGCACCGTTCTTTCCTTTTCTCCCTCCCTCCCTTGTGCTGTTTCCTGCCCGCCTTCAGAGAACCGCCTGTCATCGAGAGTATTTCGTATGTAGTAATTGCCTTATTTCTCCACAATTCAAGCTGTGGCTGAACGAACTTTCTATTTTTCAATGAAAGAGCCAGATCGATTAAGTATCATCCCACACGAAGCCCAAGCCCATGACTACTATCACCATCTCAGCCAACGTATGTCTGGCAGGGGTAACCCATCCTAGGGACTTGAGGCGCGCTGGTGGTATCCCAAACCCACTGCGCCCCCCTCCCTTCTTGCTTTTTCTTTTCGACGTGATGGAACTCAGCCGAACATTTTCACGTAGCATGGTTGACAATAAGCCGAAGCATTTCTCTCACGAAACCGGGTATTGGCCAGCGCTGCCATGCACAATGCACACGTAAAGTGCTCGACATGCCATTTGGCATCGAGTGCCTATGAAGTTTCAGGCACAAGGGGTGACAATCAGACAGATGACCAGGCAAGGACAGGCGCGATGATGACAAGTCCAACTCGATCCCAACAAACATTGATGTATTGGCCCTCGATGGGCCCCATGCAGCCGTTACAAATTGTGCCGCGTTTCTCATGGAAATGTTGCTTGCAGTACGGCACATCATCCAGCTCGAAAAACTCTTGATTAGGAAAAGGATTCTTGCATGTCTACTCTCGAGGGCACGGCGGTGCATGAGATCAAGCGTTGCTCAAAACTTTGCAAGCTCAAAAGCAAGTAAAAAAAAAGGGAACTTGCAACCCCGGATGAAGCTGTACGTACGCCGCACACAAAACAATCCTCGTGCCAGCTACCACCGACAGCTGATATGACGACGCCCGAGACCGCCTTGCCGCACCCCTTGCAGGGGGCCAAAGTATCGGAATGACACGCCTCACAAAAGGGCTCGTTACCTAGATTGGCAACGCGTGCGACAACCGTTATGAAGAGGCGCTGGAGACAATCGAGCCAAAAAACAGCACATGCTAACCGATGGGAAAGAAGCTGTCATTGCCGAATTCCTTCTTGCATGACTTGCAGACAAAGCAGCTGGGGTGGTAATTCTTGCCCAAAGCCATGAGGGCAGACTGCGCATGGGGCGTACGAAGTGCAACATGGGGTCGGTCAGGTTTATTCATTTCGATCACATCAAAAGGGCAAGGGCCAGATCGGCTGAAGAGGGCCGGGCTGTCTTGTGCATTCACTGCTGCGTACACTCATGATGGGTTGGGAACAGGTGTAGCATTTGCTGGCGTTTTCCTCAGCATGGCAACGGTCGCAAAATGGCATGCCCTCTATCGGCAACAAAATCAGGGGTCGGCCGTATGACGTGAGTCGAGCAGCCGCATATCTGGAACTACCTTGACAATGAACATACTGCTGGAATGAAAGGAAAGGTCGGCCAGCTCACGCTCGCACTTGATGCATTGAAAGTGGTTTTCGTGGAAGTATAGGCCCATGGCGTGAATCATCTGAACATGGCAAGCATCAAGCAGGTCAAGACGACACGAGAGACAGAGACAGCGCAGGTGCACGGTTGAATACTGATCAGTTGTTAGGCGGGCTAAAGTCGAGTTGCTTGCCTTGTCATGGATGGGCTGGCGACAGAGGGCACAATGGCCCGTGGGCAAAACTTGCTCCTGGATACCGTCTGACTTGGCAGCTGCAGGAGCCGAGGCGCGCGTCGAAGATGCACGAGGCACCGAGTTTTGCGTCGAAGATGCACGGGGCGCCGAGTCCCGCTGACGGGCCTGCTGCTGGCCCGCTGCGCGCAGAGCAGCGATGCCAGCCAGCGCTGACCAGGTTACAACAACGAGTGGTGGTTGGTAAGAAAAACGCCAGAGTCAATCAAAGGATCAAAGACAAGCGCCAAAACCACTCACGGGCCTGTGGCTCCTCATAAGAAGGTCCTTGACTTGGCCGGGGACGACTGGCAGCCGAACCCACAAGCTCTGCGGTTCGTCATAAAAAGAAACAGGTGATCAAAGAGCAAGACCAAGACATGCGAGGGCACATTGAGGGCACATGAGAGAAGAACAAAGACAGGTAGGGACCAGGGACGCACGCTCATTGATTTCCTCATACAAAGGCTCCTGCTTGGCCTTGTCATAGGGGCTCTGTGGGAGTTGATAGCCCGGCGGGAGGTACTCTGAAATGTGCGTAACCTGAAGGTGAGAAGAGCACGGTACCGAGGCTAACGCAACAATCTCACAGGCAAACTGCGGTGTGTTGAGCAGTGTTGAACCAACCGGCGGTGCGCGTGTCTTGAGGCTCGACATAGCTCCCACGGTTGAGCTTTGAGGCACTCGAGGACATGGTGTTCGTGTTGGACTTGTCATCCTCGGGGTCCCGCAGGTTGTTGACATTGTCATAGGGGCTCTCTTGTGAGTAGGCACGGGGTTGATGATAGTCGTCGTGTGTTTTAGGAAAAGGCTTGCGTTCACCTGCGTCGATAGGAATACATGTGAGTGGTTAGTTAAAAAAAAAAAAAGCCGTTGGTCATATGTGCGACGAGTCTGAAGGCGGCAGGCCGGCAACGAGGTCATGGGGAACTGACCAATATTGGCACTATTGACGCGCTTCATCAGCGCGTCTGCCACGATCAAAGGTACAGCAACACAGCAGCAGGGGATGGTGAGGTGAAAGCAAGCTGGATCACGACGTAAACCAACAATTGGGTCAGGGCATACCCCCCCCCCGTTGGAGCCGTGCCCTGTTGGCCATTCTCAACAGTTTTATCTGACACCCCACCACCAACGGTGGACACGTCCTGAGATCCCAAATCGCCCGCTGGATCCCATTGATAACACGCACGTACCGAGTTCTGGGTCGTCGGCCATGATGCTGGCGTGTGAGTGCGATGGGCGGTGTGTGCCCTTCAGGTGCGCGAGCGGAAGAGAGAGACACAGAGAGAGAGAGAGAGAGAGAGAGAGAGAGAGAGAGAGAGAGAGAGAGAGAGTGTGTGTGTGTGTGTGTGTGTGTGTGTGTGTGTGTGTGTGTGTGTGTGTGTGTGTGTGTGTTTGTGTCACACGTTTACGTGGGGTGGTACGCTAAATGAAAAGAGATCACGCCAGATCAGCATTAGACAAGCTAGATCACGCTATATCAACTGCAGTGGAGGTAACAATCAAGGCTTGGGTTGGTTCTGACCCACGCCAGGGCACGCCAGATGATACCCTCTCATCTGTCCCATTGTGCTCCAAAAGTTCAGATTGTCAGAATGTCAGATTATCTGGCGCGAGCAGCAGAAGCGGGCGGAGGGGAGCAGTTTGGCCTCGTGGATCTGATCGATCTGCCGCGCTCGTCCCAGTCCTTGGGCCCCTCTTCCCACTCCTTTTGGCCTTCCCACTCGGTTGTCTTCCTCTCCTGCCCTCCCTCTTGCTCGTTCCACCCCTTTTGCCTTTCGCCTCTGCACTCGCTACCTTCTTTTTTGACTCTATTCTTCTTCGTTTGATCCGCCCCCCTGATACTTCCTGCCTCGCTGCTCCTGACCCTGGGGCTCGTGCTGGGTCAAGCCAATGAATTTCATCCCGTTCCTTGAAAAGCGACAGGGAGCGGCCTGGTCGGACGTGGCTTTTGATGGTGGGCCTGGCTCGAGCTTCTACGGATCATTTACTCGGGAGTGCGTCTGATAGCGCTCGGCGCTCGCCGGTGCCACCGCGACTATGAGCTTGCTACCACACTCGCGTCAAGACCGCGAGATCCTGCCTCATATGAAACGCTATCGCTATGAGGAGGTGAGCTCAGTGATATCCAAACTCTTTGCCATCTTTGGGTGGTGCCCTCATGCTCAAGATCGCCTACATTCACGCCCCTCCCTGCGACTTGAACTAGTTGCCCGCTCATTTGCAGGGCAATCCATTTATCCTCAAGGGGTACAGGGCCTTCCTTAACCATCGTGCCTGCCTCAAAACGTATGCGCGCTCTCCGCCACGTCATCCGTCATGTAGCACAATCAGGCTCTACTGGTTGACTTGCGTGGCTGCGACAGACTCACCGCTTAATTGCTCCACCGCCTCAGAATCTGTGCCTTTCACAACGAGTGGGGCAACGTCTGGACCCACCTGGGTGGGCTGGCTTGGGCCGTACCCGTGTGTTTGTATGATCAATTTATTCGATTCAGTGAACATGAAGCCAATGGGGGGGATACCACAGACCGGTACATCTTCCTTGCCTACATGTTTGGTGTGCAGGTGCGCGAGACCGTTTGCACCCAGC